TAATAAATAAAATATAAATTAATTTACATATTTAAATAATTAATTCATACATGAGTAACATTAAAACAAATCTACTAATAAATAAATAAGATACACGTGCTGGAACCGAGTAAACATGAAATATTCAATTGTCTACGATACTTACTACTAGATAAATGAACTATGGTGCAAAAGTTTGACCAACGTTCGAATAATTTATGATTGGCTTCCTTTTTTTCGTGTTTTTAAAAAAAAGATCTATTACACATTTGTATTCAGTAAAATGCACTATAAATATATTCATAAATAAGATCAGTAAGCAATTAAAGTAATATAAGAAGTTAATAGGTTTATGGTAACTGTAAGAGAATATGTAAATTACTTCAATGGTAGGTTAGTCTTCAAAGTGTCAACCATTATAAGTAAAGATGGATGATTGCTAGCAGTGGAATCCAGGATATCATCATCCATCTTCGTTTATGATTCATGTGACTTTAGCCAGTATCGATGCAATCCACACAGGATACACATATGCCAATAAGATACTGATTAATTGTAGTCCTAAACATTAGTGGAAAGATTCAAACAACCAATATAAAAATGAATTAAAAATGTGTCAAGCATTTAAAATCACACACATTTTGACTGAACATAATCCATTTAATGCGTTATAGCCTTTTATATATATGAGTGACAGGAAAATGTATGGAGTTAATAATACAAATAATTTTTCCCCTGATTCAGGTTTGAACAAAATTACTATAATACCCCGACGAGAATTATGAATGGTAACTCTTGAGAAACATTTATTGATCAATACGATGCATATATATTTATTGTATAATTGTTAAGTAGCTATACTATGCATTTTCGTGCTTCTCTTATTATAAGCTTTATTTTGACCTATAAACTATTATTATACAATTTCCTATTCTTGAGTTATGCCCAGTCTATCAATTACAGTCTTCCACATTCACAACCACTTTTGGCTAAATCTTGTACAAATGTTATTTTCTATTTTATGGTGCGATGTGGTCTGTTTAGTATGTATACAAACCCAGTATGATTGAAATACATGATTTATATCTCAGAGGCTGAGATTGGTGTTTTGGAATTAACAGGCAGAGCTAGGCGGGAAGAAAGACCGATAAAGTCTCTAGACTGATCGTACAGGTTTTATGCGTCATTGGTCCGGTCGATAAATCACTGTTCTCTATTTGGTGGTATCATCACGTTATGTATTAATAGGGCACAAGGCCACAAATTATGACAACTGCCAATATTTGTTGATAATGAAAAATGCCCAAATATTCCATACTCTTCAATTAACTGATAGCCGATACAGAACGTAGGTTATGATTGTGATGAATGAAAGCTTACAAGAGTTATTTTAGTAGTTTTGAGAAAATCATGATGAATTTCATGCTGAATTAATGTTTATAAAACACTCAAGAGAACAATAATAACTGATTCGAAGACAAATTAATGCATTTCTATAAATAACTTGTGACCTTAACTAGATTATTCAGATATCAGTGACATTTAATGGGTAAAAAATGGGCTGGATTTGGAAGTGATAATTTATTAATGTTTACGTTAATGATCGAAGAACAATGAATTCTTTTCGACATCATATGATATAGATTAGACTGCTTGAAATATCGTTGATATGTACCGTTGGTGAATCCCATAACGGGATAATACTGACTGTTTAGTGCTCAAATCTTCTTATTGTCCCATAGTTGATAATAGTGTGTGATGACAAATGCTTCTACCTAACAAGTTCATTTTACAGCATTCTGCATCTTTTCAATGAACACTCATAAGTGACATTTGTGTTTTACTTTTGATCAAGATAAATGAAACAAATAAAACAGCATAAACTTCACTAAAATATACTTATTATTTATTTGTGACTTTTATCACATTTCATTGTTACCTTTCTTCTTCCTTGTAGATTAAACCTATTGATTCATTAATTGACATTCACCGTCAATATGATCATGTAGAAGGTGAATATAATACAACACTGACTTTTATAAATCAAAGAATTAACCAAAACAGTAGTTATGATAATTATATTAATTATTGGAATGAACAATCAATTCATCAATATCCAATAATAGACCACTTACAATCAGCTTATACAAAAGATCCTAATTTTATCCAATCTATACAAACTAGAACTTATGACAATAGAAAGTATGCTGGCTATTACAGTTTAAATAGAACAATTAATCGTGTACATATTAAATCATTAATTCATAAACATATTTATCAAATAAGAATGTTTGCATTGAATACAGCTGGATTAAGTCCAGTTAGTTTACAATTAGGCATTACATCATTATTACCAGCATTGAAATACAAACATCAGTATACCGATCAAAATTTTATACAATGGATTAATTTAATACATTCAAATAAACATCAAGAGAAAATATTTAAATGGTTAAATAATACTCGGATACAGTTTCTCAGTGAACCAATTATTTCAAAGATAAATGTAAGAATTATTATTTCTTTTTTATTCCTGAAAAAAAAAATTGTTTACTGTGAAACAACATAGTGAGTTTCTTTTTCCTAATAAAGAGATATGTTCAGGATATGATCTCGTTAGTAATTGTATCACTGATTGAAATTAGCTGATACACTTACTGTGAATGTGTAATAGGCATTTGGTGAAACTTGATATTTTACAATATTAAGGTAGTGAAATTATATTATTTAATACTGATGTAAATAGAGTGAAAGATGTTTTTCTATGAAATTACGTAATGCTAAAGGATATCGATGAAATAATGATAAAATATGTTTGATAAAATTTCATCTGTTCAAGTTGGATAATTCTTTTTAAATATACAGTCTATGAAAAAGAGGTTAAGAGTAGTACACATCTACGGTCGTACACGTGAGACTCGAACCCAAGACGTTCGGTCTCGCGAGCGAACGTTTAACCTCTAGACCACCGAGACAGCATCCAACAGTGTTAATCCATAATTTCAATTGATCTAGCTTAGAATGACTTATGAATTCAACTGTTAAAAGTTAACAAGCAAAGATTCCACTTTCAACATAGGTGAATGGCGCAAGTTACTTTATATTAGTAGACGTTTTTCGAAGTTTTCTGAAATTAAGTCACAAACCACATGATGAGCACATTTTTAGACTCGGAATCTCAACCATAACTTTGTCGTCAGTTTGCTTTCTAATGGATACTCTAAAAAGCAGCTATCCAGTGCTTCTTCTTTTTCTTCAATTGTTGAATCACATTCAGTCCTTGATACAAACTATCTTTGGACCATAAAAAACTACCACTTTATTTTACTTATATGAATTTAATTTTTTTTAGTTTTATTAGATTCAGTTTCTTTAGAATGATTTCCTTTTCTGTTGTCAAACTTATATATTTTATCCAACTTCATGATTTTCTTTTCAGTCAATATCTTTAATGTAAGTCTGTGCATAGTCCACTTTTCCTTCGATTTTATCTCGTTCATTAATCATGATTATGTGTTCACTTGGTCACATAAAAGCCATTATACTGTGGTACATATATATATATATATATATATATATATATATATATATATATATATATATATATATATATATATATATATATTAATCGTTTGACTACATATTTTTGTACCACTCTACTTGTAACCGATCACTGATACATATAGGGAGCTATGTCAGAAATTTATTTGCCTTTCAAAAAAACAAACAAAATCATGATTTATTATTTTCCAATTTTACTGTTTACATTTAAGAAAATAACACAGTGAAGAAAGAAAAACAGAAGACAAATTATTGTTCTTTTTTTCTTACACCTGAGATACACTTTTTTCTGTTTTGTTCAGAAGAAATAAGCAAGGCACAAAACAAACTTCAATGATGATGAAATATACATAATACATTTTCCGTCAATTCATAATCATAAAATATTTACTAAAAGTTAGAGTTATCCTGATGTTGACATTTACAACTGAGATTTGTTGACAAATAAGAATCCTGTTACAAGTTTTACATAGAATAGACGGATGTTCACTTTGGGATTCAAAGTCAATACTTTTCGGTTCCATAGTCTATGAGTTATACATTTGATCTTTTGAGTTCAGGTAGCTATCAACTAGTTAGTGAGCATTATTTCATCTTTTCAATATTGGTTGAACACTTCTCTCATGCTGTAAAATAATAAATATACTATATATACCTAACAGTCTCTTAACTGGTTGTCTTCTTAAATGGTCAGCAAGACTGAGTCAAGACTCATTTCATCAAATACTAAGTCTTACTTTCTAGAACACCGATTAAGGAGCTTTAGGAAAACATTTCAACAATTCTTCGACTCCATATTTATGGAACATTAGGATGAGTTTGAATTCTATATTCGAATCAAAACCCTATTTTATCGACTTTTTTGTAATAGAGATTCTGTCTAGCAGAGACATTATACAGGCTTACTTCTCTTTATTCATTCACATATCATTGACCATGTACGAATAACTGTCTTTTATGTGGTATCTAGGCCACATTATATTTAAATACAACGTACTGTGTTACTCTATATTTCTAATGAAACACATCTCATGATGGAAATTAGTAACTGATCAGTATTCCTCAACTTGAGAAAATAGATACTTGAAAACGGTACTATGAATAAATTCTATAAAAAAACACACCTTTCTTGTTTAAAACTTTTTTATTAAGGGGTAGTAATCACTTAAAACATTATCTGTTTTTAAAGCTGTAGGTTACCTTTACTATAACTCTTCACAAGATTTTTAGGAATTTTTAACCACAGAAGACAAATTTTGAAATAACGATTTCTCTAAAAAAAAGTATTCAAGAATCCTCATCTTTCCCATCAACATTTTTTTAACGGAATCTATTTCAGGCTCATAATGCAGAATTTTCAATTGAATTCAATTTAAAATTAGATGGAAATATTTCTCATTCCAACCAATCTACTCCAGTTGTAGGCGATTTTTCACGAATAATAAAATTAATTGAAAAGAGTAAATGGCCAATAAAAATACAAAAAATTCCTTTGAATGGTTATCAAGCTTTAAACGGAAATGATCATATAAACTCTTTGAATTGGGTAACTCACTTTTTTAATTAATCGAAACTCAATCTTTTATGATAGTTTAATTATTTATCGTACCAGATGTTGATTGTATTTGAAGAAATCTTTTGTGTAGTTGTGATATATGCTTATGACTAAAATATAATCTTCACATTGATGTTTAAAACTGCAATTGATCGGTTTTTTATTAGCATTTGTGCATACTGTGCGTATTGCTTTGATGTTGCCCTAATTCATGAGCAATATAATCAAAGATGGATAGTCGCAGTATGCACATATGCCAATAAGATAATGATCAATTGCCATCATAACCATCAATGGGAAAATTCGAGTAAACAATAACAAGTGAATTCAAACTTCACCTATTTCACAAGCAAGTGGCTATCAAGACTCATTAGCTAAGTGGATAACGTGATGGTGTTTGAAGCGATTGTTACTGAGTTCAAGTCACAGAGTGAACAACAACTGTGGGATATAGGTACATTCAGCTGACGAGTCTCAAATAGGATGAAACGTGTGTTTTGGATTCCACTGCGAGAGACTATACACCTTTGTTTATATAAACAGTTTATTATTAAATACTGCTTTATATTATTTACAAATATAAGCGTTTTCTATAATCATAAATTTTGATGTTAAAATAAAACATTCTGCATAACAGACAAACGACTGAATATTGAACAGTCTACAGTTTACTCAAGCGTACGTATTTCGAAGAATTCATTCTTTCTAGAAGAGTATAACAAGTTACTAATATTAATAAAATTTCCCGAAACAACTTGCCAATTTAACTTGAAGTGTTACGTCGTTGTGTTTCTCCTTCTGTAGGTGTTTTTTCCTTAATTAACTTTGATTTTAAAACAAACTCAATATAAATTAAGAAAATTATTAAAACTATCTCAAATATTCAATGTCTAAATGTGATCAAGATATTTAGATCTAATATCGCTAATTTATAATAAAGTTTAAATACCTATAAATTTCTATAAATATAATAAGATTTTCATTTTAACTGATACTACGGTGCAATTCACTATGTGAAAGGGGGGTTTGGAAACAATATTATAATTCTAAACATTATGTTACAAGGTTTAACAAACAAAAGTTAATAGAAAGTTCTACTTTCAGAAAATCAGCTAAAAACCCAACATGAAATGTCACACTTTTGAAATTATTAATCGAATCCCAGAATTCTAGCATTCACGTTCATTCTGTCCTTGCTTTCACCTATTAAACGGCAATATATATATGTATATATATATATATATATTGCCGTTTAATAGGTGAAAGCAATAAATTTCTTGGTGTTACCTGGAAATTTGATATCATCTTTAAAATAGAAACAGTTTTTTTCTAAACCGAATAATCCAGCTTTATATAAATTATCAATTTAGCATTAGAGTTAGAAATGTAATCAATCAATAATGACTATAGCTAAGTTCTATTCAAGTGATTTTCTTAAATATGGAGTTAGTGAGATAAAGAGACAAATATATCGGTCAGTGATTAGATCAAAAAGAAGAATAATAGCGATATGAAAATGATAAAACATACAAGCGGTAAAAAAATATCGGCAAAATGTTTTATAACAATCACAAATATTTGTGATTCGATTCTATCTTGAATGATAATTCACTGAAAATAAAAGATTTTAGGAGTGAAATAAGAGTTTTCAATTTAGCAGCAAATCAAACAAAAGTACTTTATTGTTTATTAGTTGTTTCTTTCGTTTTGTTACTCAAACTAAAATTCTTTGTTTAAAATCTTGTTTTGTATACACAACTTAGTTCAATGTCATCGTTGTAGGTAGGTCAAATTTAATAATACTAAGGGTAGTTCAAGATTTAAATCCTCTATTTACTGTATCATTTGAATAGATACTTTGATTTTCATAACACTTTTAAAGACTTATTGTTATCATAACAGTAAGTTAGAATTATAGACTTAAATCAAATAGAAACCATTTTCAAATGAACAGTTTTCGAGAGTTGAAATAGATGAAAAGTAAAGGAACACAGTTCTTTACTTCAATGTTTGCGTTATACATCTATATAAAATAACGAATGGTGGAGAAGATTTGTAGCTCAGGTGGATGATTTTGATGGAGTTTTGTTCTCTAAGCTGGATGGTTTGGTCGTGGAGCTTTCATCGTTCTTCTGAACGACATCATCAATGCAAACTTCAGATCTTCACAACCAAACCATCCAGCTTAGAGAACAAAACTCCATCAAAATCATCCACCTGAGCTACAAATCTTCACCATCTCATTTTATCGAAGTATAACTGAATAATGAAAAGATTCAACGAATTAGTGATTTTTATGAAATTTTCAACTTTTCAAAGATTATATGATAGTCCGATCATTACTGACTTAATTACACCTGTTACCCCACGTCAAGGAGCATAGACCGAGCACCAACCTTCTCCATTCACCTCTGTTCTGGACAATCTTTTCCAGTTGTTTGCAGTGGTTATTGATTTTTTTGATGTCTGCTTTCGATTCCCGACTCAGTGTGTTCTTTGATCTTCCTTTTTTCTGTTTCCCTTCAGGATTCCAAGTTAAGGATTGCTTCGTGGTACAATTTGATGATTTCCGTAATGTATGTCTCATTCATTCCCAACGTCTTTACCCAATTTCCTCCTCAGCTGGAAGTTGATTTGTTCTCTCCCACAGTAGTCTATTGCTGATGGTATCCAGCCAGCAGACATTTAGTATCTTGAGTAGACAACTGTTTTTAAATACGTATACCTTTTTGATGATGGTTGTAGTAGTGTTCCAAAATTCATCTCCATACATTAGAACTGTCTTGACGTCTGTATTGAAGATTTTGGCTTTGAGTTCCATATATTCTTCTACTGTATGTATGCTTCTCTGTCTCTCAAATACACAACAGTTAAGAGGAGTTTAAAGTATCAAAGCCATAACTTATTCAGTATTTTGTTGAAAAGTACCGATACACTTTAAGACGTAACAAATTCTAAATACTGAAGAAATCGTATGAAGAGTAGCTATTTCAAATTATACCAGAATCAGACAATGATCTATAAGATCATTAATGCAAAATATAACTTTGCACACCAACAGTATACATATTCTACGTTATTTTTCTACAAAGTTAATTTCTAACATTATCATTATATCTTGCGCAAAGTAATCATTCATAATGATGTACAGTTTTATTTCTCAGAAGCGGTTTTGTGGATACTACAATAATTTTAATAGTTGAGATCATGAATCAATTGAAACTAGACAACCATGGAAAACCTTGTTTCACTGGATGGCCGTTTCGTCTTATTGTGGAACACAGCAGTGTGCATTCACGATCCCGTCTCACGGGATTCACACGTCAGACCTATAGGTCCTTAGTTCAAATCTCGCGAGGCATCATCGTGGATGTGCATTCCTGAGGTGTCCCACGATAGGAAGAAACGGTCGTCCAGTACTTCTAGGTGTTCCATGGTAGTCTTGTTTCAATTGACAAATGATCTCAACTATCAAAGTTTTAATTTTGATAACTTATTTATTGATATAAGTAGTTTTTGTAATTGTCTGTCAATATTTCAAAGTTGATAATTTCATTCTAAAAACAATAATTAAAAATATATTCTTAAAAGATTTACTATTCCTATTCTATGTATTAATTAATTTGTCGCTAATTGGTGCCACTTTACAATCTTGTCAATTAAATGTCATCAGAGAAATGAGAAACGTTTTTCAATGTTTTCATTCTTGTATATAACTTAACTTACTGAATGAATAATTATTTTTTTTTGTTTGTTTTTATTTCTATATTTATCCAATTGTATAACAAAACACTTTTAGAGAATAATCACAGCATATAAATATACTACTAGTCCATCATTGAAATTATCTTTAACAGAATCGACTAAATTCAATGTTAATGAAGGAGTACAATTGACGTTATCATTTAAATTATTTAATTTATCCAGTTATAATTATTATCGATTTGAAGTTTGGCAACCGATCGGTTTACTTTTTGGTAATTATAACCAAATAGCTAACAAAATTTTGTATCATTCAAATTTATCTAAATGGTTTAAAATTGAATGTGAACCGCCATCAGTGTCGCCATCATTAGTATCTACTCATATGTTGAATTTAGATCAAATGAAAATTATATGGCAGGTATGTTTGGAATAATTTATGAATTGAAATTTCTATAAAACTTTAATTCTACACTAAAAAGAAACATCAACATCCCTGTGCTTATTTGTTATTCATCATATGTTTAAATATTATCTTTCTTCCTATAATATATCATTCAAATTAACTAGTCTTTTAAATACTACTGATTTCAATCTTTATAAATTGTTATTCAAACATACCGACACAGAATAAATTGGTTTTCAAATATATGTAATTACTAGAATCTATGGATTTTTATTATTATCAGAATAGGGATTTGTGGAGATTGTAGTAATTTTTATCGTTGAATTCATGAGTCAATTAAAGCTAGACCACCAATGAAAACATGGAATCACGGGACGACCGGTTCGTCCTAGTATGAGACTTCTCAGCAGTGGGACGCTTACCTTCTGTCTTGTACATGGACAGTTTACCCCGAGACCACTGGTGTGGCATTTAATGTTGGTGATGTTTAACTTTAACCAATTCATACTCTTGCGCAACCCTTTATTTAATGCATGAACTGGATACCTCTCTCTACTCCACATAAATTGGACTGCACAGATCACGGTTTCCCAATAGAACTTCAGAAAATCCATTTTGAAGCTAGTCATTATTGAGCGTAGATCGTCTCATGAATTCAACTATTAGAACTTACATCACTTTGCTGCAATTTATACATAGATAAATGGTTCACCAATAAATTCAAATATATAATGCTTTTTATTTTATTTTTGAACTCAGTTAATAAAATACAAAGAGAAGGAATATAAACGCCGATAAGTTTTTAAATATTCACAATACAATTGGTTTAATTTGGATATGGAATGCTTGACGATTACAATTCAGCTAGATTTCTTTTCATAACCCAACTTTCTTATATTTAATAATTATACTGATAACAGACATAAGATAGTAAATAAGAACTTTCGTCTAAATTTGAACGAATAGTTTCACGGTATTTGGGCGCTGAGTTAATGTGAGTCATTAAAGAGGAATAATATATATTTGTAAAATCTCAGCGAAAGAATTTGAAGTAAATCCAACGTTTCGCCTGGCGATCTGGTCCAAGTTTATCGATAATTTTGTTGTTTGATTATATTTTCCTTGAAAAAGCTTGGACCAGATTGCCAGGCGAAACGTTGGATTTACTTCAAATTCTTTCGCTGAGATTTTACAAATACATTCTTACTCTTTAATGTCAGACATAGGATAGTCTTATGAAAGTCAATGACAGAAAATAGAGCATTCATTAATTTTGTGTTTGTCACTAATCTGATTTAACTAGTGATGTATTACCGTAGGTAGTGGGGCGGTTGTTTCATTATTTAGTATTATTTTGTAGTTACTATTTATGTGATTTACTTGAAACACTCAGTTTCTGAATAGTTTACCGAACATTATTAAAATGTATATTATTTTAAACGGAATATACCCACCGAGACATAGATGAAAAAAACATTAGTTTAGCAAAGTGTTCTCTTTTCGGTGAATAATTGTGCAATCAAGACTGTTTATATCACACAAAATGATTTACTTACAATTAACTATAAAAAAATGTTCTTAACTTTCATTAGGACAAATAGTTGAAAGATGTTCATCATATAAATTATTATTTGTTGGACCATATGTTTGAAATTTCAAAATAACATAAACAATTATAAGCAGGGATGGATGGTGACCAACATTGGAATCCGGGACACGCGTTTCGTCCCTTTTGGGACTCGTCAGAAAGCGTACCCGTATCCCAGATTCGATGTTCATTCAAGGACTCGAAACCAGTAACGTTTGCTTCGATCGTCATAGAGTTATCTATCTCTGTTTAGGAAGTTTGTGACTTAAGTAATATTGAGGTTATCTGCATAGGATGCACATATGCCGATAAGACGCGGATCAATTACGGTCCTAAACATCAAACAACCAGTACAAAAATGGATTAATCTAAATAATTGTTTTTACAGAGTACATCTTATTTAGATTCATGTTGTAGGTTAATAATAATGAAAGACGTAGCGATGAAAAATTAAGTCGTAGTTATATTACGGGTAAATTAATAGTTCTTTGTTCCAAGAGTACAAAGTGTTCTGTGTGAATCATAATCTACTTTAAATAGCAAATTATTTACTTAATAGAAATTCAGTCTTTAGTTTACAACTTCACTGACGGTATTACTATAAGTAATGTAAAAAATACACTTATCATTTACTCGAAGTGTCAGTTACCATTATCACCATGGGAATTGTGGAGATTGTAGTATTTTTACACTAGAAATTACGAGTGGATCTGAGCTAGATCACCACTGAAAGCATGGGTTCAAGTCCCGCGTGCGTGATCTTAGGTGTGCACTGCCGAAAAGTCCCGTACTAGAACGGAAAGGTCGTCCAGCACTTCCACGTTTTTAATGGTGGTATAACTTAGACCGATTCGTGATTTCAACCGTAAAATCTATTCTGATTGCTCAAAAATTACGGTTCATTAAAAAATCATTTACAACCTAGAAACTAAGCTAAATGTAACAAAGACGGTATTTTCTGTGGGCAATGCTGTTTTAAACATGATTTTGCGTCTTAACAGATTAAAGATACTAAAATTGTTTCTTTTTTATCTCAAACGTTTTGAGATGCCTCCTAATATCCGATGATATTTCTCAACTATTACTTGTGAACTGCTTACACGCATTGTATGCAGAGATACGTGGAACGGTAAGGGAACGGAGCGACTTTACGTCTGAGGACGTCAATGAACAAAGTGACATATCAATGTACGTCAAAGCTATAAAACAAAACTTTTATATTTCGATCGCTCACTTCTAGAATAAAGTTACATTATATTGCTAAATACGCCCCACAATAGTCACTAGAGTATGAATATAGATGGAAAGGCGTTTTTTGTGCTTTATTCTATGACTTTCCCTTATTATGTGTTAATTTTGTCAGATGATTAAAAGCTGTAAGCTAATTCACCACAGATGCTTTTATTGAAATAATTTTTAAACTTGGTTTACTTAAACTTTGTTGATTTATAAAATTCAGCCTCTTTCTCCGGAGGAGTGGAATGGAATACCTGGTGGGTATTTAATTACAATTCAGGAAGCTGAGAGCGAACATACACACAGTTTAATGACAACTTATCCGAATCACGATCATATGTATAGTGCAAATGAAACAGTAAAAATTCAAATTATTCAAAGCAAGTGTGGTTTAGATTATTTACAAATATTTATTAATGATAGCACGGCTTTCTCATATATCACTGGAGATTTGAAATTCGATAGTGATTACATAATAAGTATTCGTGCTGCAAGTGTAGAAATCGGAAATTCTGACAAATGGTTATTGGGTCCACAAACTGTTATTCAACATTTGTCAATTTACAAACAAGCAAAAAATAATGAAGACATAAGATTTCTAATTTCGATGAGAACGTCAAAATTTATTCCATACAATCTTAATGTTTCACGTGAACTAGATTGGGTAGTTGTGAGTTGGAAAGAGAATATCAAAGTAGAGTGTGGACAATTACCAGAAGGTTACCAAGTAAGCTACCGTTTTGTGTGGAAGCATAAAGTTTTTCTCATCAATATCCTATGAACTAGTGTAATTCTATTTTCATATTACTTAGATCATTTATAAAGCATCTTTCTACGAACCAATGTGCCCCTAATGTTATTTCATTCATAAATCCATTCCATTCATTTTCAAACATCGAAACCAGAAGTTTCGATCAATTTTACCAGATATGTTGATGTACCCTAAATGTTCACAATCATACTCTGATAAAGGCGTCACAATCAATGATTTTAGAGAATAAAATCTAAACAGCTCACAAACATTAAAGTCCGTGGTTAGACTTACATTTGTATACATCTGTTTGAACAGATTAGCATAGATGAAAGGTGATATGCATATATGATTACTCATTGGTATGATTTCTCAGTAAAATATATCAAGTATGAAGCTACGAAGGGATATATTGTTCACAAATTTATGGAATCAACGAACTTTCAGAGAGTTTACAAGATTTGTCATTAGTATATGATTTCAACAGAACGGCTAACAACTGTTTCTGGATTGAACAAGCATCTTTAAGTTTATCTGTGATACAGTCAAAAGGATTAGAACTTGTTTTTTTATGTTTAGGTAAAAAGGAACCTTGAAAGCTCTTGAAAACTTACAGCGACTTTACTTTAAAATGTACATTCTAGTCGTACAATATCACTCACGAAAGTAAAAAGTAGATTTCTTTTCATTGTGACATAATTTATATATATATATATTTGGATTCTTTAATCTTCGAAATTACTTTGTCAAAAATCTTAGGTCAACGTAAATAGACAATTTGTAAAAGATTTATGTAACGTCCAGCTGTTTATGTCAACAAATTGTAGATAGTCAAAATGGACCCCTATTAAGTTAAATAACATAGGATTATTGTTTAATTAAAGCTTAGTAGTTTAAAATTTAGTTAGAATAAGCTTTTCTCGAAAAAACTTTGATTTCACTTATAGTGTTCTAGAAATATGTCATACATCAAGTGCCGGTCATTAAAAACAAAATATGATTTTTTCTTTAAAAGACCATGCTATTTTACCTACTGAGAACATTTTTTATATCAAATCGAAACGTTACCGTGAAACCAAAGCTTTATTTAGCTTATTTTATCAGGTTATTTCGTGACACAACTAATTAGTGAAGTATGAGTTAATTTAAACGGGTGAAAAAAGTAAAGTGTTTACTTCCATTTCATGGTAAGAAGGTAGTTTTATTCGTGTAAATATCGAATAGACTAGATTTTTATTATATTTCAAATGGTTCTTTTGTCTTGCTTAAGTGACATAAGTTATAGAATTTGTTAGTCAATAAAAATAATTAAAGATTTCAAGTATAATCTAGACTACGAAGATCTTGGTGTGAATACGGAATGTGGGATAGTAGATGCGCTTTTCTGAGGGCTCCCATACTAGGAAAAAACGGTCGTTCAGGTCTTCCAGGTTTCTATTCATGGTTTTGTTTAGTTGGGCTCGTGAATTCAATTATTAAAATTAATGGATTTGTTAAGAAATATATTAAAAATAATAAAATATTTTCGTAAAATTGCATTATTATTTTATGAATTGCAAGTATTTCATGTTGACAAAATGGACATTTTTAATGGACCTAAGCCGCATTCAATGTTAGAGGACTAGAGATGATATCCATTGCATAAGGCCGAAGTAGGTGAATTGAACACTGAACATGTTCAGTCATTGAAAATTTAAGGAAGTGACAACTGACGTAAAATAAATTTAACAGAGTATTTGATAATCGTGGTAAAATGAACATATCACGAAGCTACGCAACAAAAATATAAGTACCACGCTTTATCTTGCAGTTACTGTCAATCATCACTATGATACTTAATACATCCGAGTGTCGTCTGTCATATAAATAGGATTTAAATATGTACCCATAAATTACACATCAATAGCAAATGACTATAGATTCTGTTATGTGATGCGATAAGCTTTCTATGCAATCGTGTAAACTTAGTATCAGTACAGAACGATTTTGAGAGTTGATAGTTTGTTACACTAACAAAGATTCTATTTATGCTAAGCATGAAAACTCCACAAAAACACTTTTAACAAATTTTTTATCAGATTTAAATTAAATTAGAAACGTCTAACTTGTGAAAAGGAATATTTAGACAATAGATCGTAAGTTAGACACATTAGTTGATAATAATGGTCTTTACATATAATCCTAATTATTTACTAAGATTTCAATTAATAATATACGTTATAATGATTCGCAACACAAAAGTATACGAATCTATACTTTGTACTTCTAATGATCTAACCAATTTATAAGTTAAAACTGTACGAGAACATAGTAATGCCTACAATCAACTAGTTCCTTTAAACTAATTTTATTACGAAACTGACATTTAAATACTGTACATTTACTTGTAAGCAATGATGGATAGTGGCTAGCAGTGGAATCCAGGATGCGCGTTTCGTCCTATTTGGAACTCGTCAGCTGGATGTACCTGCATCTCAGAGTTGATGACGAAACGCGAGTCCTGGATTCCACTGCAAGCCACTATCCATCATCGCTTACAAATGGCTGGTGAATTAAGGCAATATCGAGGCATACGCACAGTATGCACCTATGTCAATAACAGACTGATCAATTGCAGTCTTAAACCTCAGTGGGAAGATACAAGATGAACAATACCAAGTGAAATGTACGATTACTTCTGTTAATATCTATCCATGTTTAAATAATTAAACAAACAAAGTCTAATTGTTACATTTCACATATCAAATGTGTTATGTCTTGCTGATTGGACGCTATATTCGTTCCTAAGCTATTTTGATAACCCGCACCGTAGAACTGAACACCAGAAAGAAGACGCAAAGTATGAGAGAAACATTTCACTCCAAGGTTCTTTTTTGTACATAAAGCATGGGTATTTAAAGAGGTTAACGTTTGTTAAATCAACATCATATTTCGGCCAATCCGTTAGCGACATATTATGCTACTGACCAATAGTAGCACGCTACGTTGGAATTCTAGAATGCTCCATCATGCTCTGATTGGCTAGGAATCTTCTGCTCCTTTTGGGTCTCTGGAGGCTCCGTTGAAGTTCTCCGAAAGCCGACTACACAAAATGAAACTAAATCATAAACAGAAAAGTCTTGTATTAAAAATATTTTAAAAAATAAATGTTTATCCGCGCAAAAAATAATTAAGAATGTTCATTTCTAGTTAATAACCGATATGATAAAATTCACTGTTATGCACATTCTTATATAACTGATGAGGTCGGTAACAAAACTTGATTGGAATCTCTTAGGATTTCAATAAAATGTTACTTCTTAATTAAATATACATGAGTAAATATACTCTGTTGTTTGATTGAAAACTTGAATAAGAAAATATTATTGATTACGTATCTATTCATCTATTAGCTAATCTTCAATAAAGTATGGTTTAACGAAAATACAAATGAAACATTACAGAATGATGATGTTGATGATGATGATGATGTCAACTATTTGAAATTTATTCCATTCAATCATACAAATTTAAATCGTAATAAAATTTTACAATCTAGTAATTCATTTTATGAAAATATCTTGAAACTTCCATTGAAAATATTTTTTAATTCAAATGAAGCCTGTTCTTTTAATGGATATTTAAGATTTCGATTATATATAATTGGCCAGTCAATCAGTAAAGATACTGAACAGGCTACAGTTTATATGAACCTTAAAGGAGAGAAACTAAGTAAGTTATATATTATATTGCTTATTTCAATCAAAATACATATAATTAGTAATAATTAATTGATTTTCTGTATAAGAATTGTACTTATGTCTTATTACTCAGTCAATTTTTCATAAACATGATTAATATCCAATTACATTGGATTTATTAGTATAGAGGTTTGTGAAGATTAATGTATACTGTTGATATCACCAACCAAATCTGTTGAAAACGAGGAATCACTGGACAGCTTTTTTTATAGTATGGAACTCCCCAGTGTTATGCATCCACGACCCTATTGAGTATTGAACATGAGGCTTTAGGTCTCGTAGAAAAACGCTTAACCTCTAGACCGTTTAAGTTGAATCAAGTGGTAGATATGTATAAATTCATTCAAATCGTCATCTTTATAACCGCCTAATGATAACAACTTATTTCACGAACTATTTGATTTAGTACTCGATTGATTCAAAGTACTAAAAAAAAGTCTGATGTGTGAATATTGAGTCGCAAATTCAAGTCTTTGAACATCACGCATTAAATAAGGTAAACCTAGAGAACATCAAATAAATCTTCATTGCGGATATAATTTTTATTACGATAAGTACTCAGTTAACATTGTTGCATATTTGCTTGATGAACACCCCAATCTTAAGCATATGAGCTACTTTAAAAATGGATCCTTCCGAGAGTTACTGCCGAAATAATTAAAATTTAGTATATTTTTTGCCCTAATTTGACTCCAAAACATTAAGATCACAATTAGGAAGCTGATTAGTAAGGCGGTACACTTTATTCTAACGTATTCACTTGTGTTGAATATGTGGACTAGTTTGACAAGTTCAATAACAATTTATATGTTCATATATAATTTAATTATAATAATGGCTTACATCAAAATTCTGTATATTTGTTTTGCAACACTTCAGTAAATGTCACATGAATGTATCGGGAGCACAGTATGTGTTGTTGATGGTTTTTATATTTAAATCTTAAAATTAGATCTTGATAACTTCTATTTCACAGCATAATTGACATAACTTAAAAGATATAACTTAAAAACTGAATTCATGAGTCAAGTGAAGATAGACCACCATGGAATACCTGGAAGCACTGGACGGCCGTTTTATCCTAATATGAGACTCCTCATAGTGGTCTAGCTTCAATTGACTCATGAATTCAATTATTAAATTACAACAATCTCCAGAAAAACCCTCTCAGATATAACTTATTTAATATTCATTTCTGTCTATGTAGACAGTTTCAGATAAACAGTTTGATTAATCAGCTGTTCATGTTTGTAATTATAATTTATTAGAAATGATAGTCAGGACAATTGAATTATCGTAATAGTAAATAAACTAGTAAAAAGTATACTTAATTGGTAAAGCTTTAAATCAACAATCAATTCAGTCAAAATAAACATATACACATCGTCGGTTATTAACTAATTGGAGTAAATTATTTAAGACATCAGTATAGGAGTTGTGGAGATTATTGATTTCTTGATTGAGATCATGAACCGACTGATGTTAGACCACCGTTGGAAACCTGGAAGCACTAGACGGCTGTTTCGACCTATTGTGAGACTCCTCAGCTGTGCGCATCTATGATCCCGCTCGCGGGATCCAAACCCAGGGCCTTCAGTCTTGGGCACGAACGCTTAACCTACTGGGCCACTGAGCTGGCCGTCCAGTGCTTCCAGGTTTCCAACAGTGGTCTAACGTCAATCGGTTCATGATCTCAGTCAAAAAATATTTAAGATATGTTCATTTGACAAAATTATGCTTATTATAGTTTGTTTGTTTTTTCTAACGGTTTTCAGTATAATATACCAATTTTTAAAAGTATTCGTTATTATTTATTTATTTCTTATCTTTTAGGACACCGTTTATTACTGCGTAAAATAATTCCATTGTCAAAACAGAAAAAAGCACGTGTGCTGATTACTTGGATACCAAACATTAATAATGATAAACCATTGTTTCCTCATACAAATACATTCACTTTAAAATGGACAAGAATTGATCCTATATCATATGAAAATTTGAGTTTACCATTCACACGATTAATCAGTTGGCCAGATGCGAATAATCCTGTCTTGATGAAATCAATTGAAAAAGCATCAATGAAACAAAAATATTCAGAATATTTGATTACTGTTGATGAGCTGTCAATGGAAGCAACATATTTATTTCAACTAATCGAAACAAACTTCAGTCAACCGATAAATATTACCGTAAACGATGAAAAAATGTGTTCAAGTAAAACAGAGTTATTGGTGAGTAAATTAAGAATTTTGATTCAATTCATGATCAGCTAAGCATAATTTTATAACGTGTAAGACAAAAAGTATTCATAAAAATGGATGATGGTCGTGCAATATTGGTAATTGACCATAGTTCAAACAATTAATCATAGGATACTATCATGTCGCCTGAAGGCATTGAATATGACTAGTGATGGGATTGTGAGTTACCACTACTTATATACTAGGACAAAACGACTGTTCAGTGTTCTGGGGATTTAGAGGTTGTTCATGTATAATAAGCTAACAAGGCAGATTAAAGATTGAAAAAATTTTACGGATCTCTAACGTTAAAATTGTTTAATGAGATCAATAATTTAACGGATGATGGATTCTTGTTATTGATTTTAAAGACCGTCGTCGACCAATCTCTATTGGAATATGTTCGTTTTGAGTAGATTAAATTCATACCGCCATAGAATTACAAGTTTTCTGGCGAAGTTGAATAATATCAAGAAGTCTGGCCCAGGATGCACGATTTGCCCTATTTGCGACTAGTCAGATGACTGTACTTGGATATGTGTTGATGTTCATATTTAAAGTCTTTCGAATAACGAATAATTCGTTCCCATTGCACAAGATAATTGTTATTTGGAGTAAGTAGCTCAAAGGGTAATGTTTTAGGCATTTGAGGCGAAAAGTGTTGGGTTCGTGTCCTGTTTTGAACAATAATACCAGATCCCAGCTACACCTAGCTGATAGATCTTAAGTGGATTAAAAACCACTTCCAGTAATGCTCAACGAGACACTATCCAAATTCATTACAAAAGAGATTACATGTTATAGATTTCAGTCCTAGTTTACTTCCATTGTTGAAATTATTTTTTTAGTCGGTACAATTAAGTTAAACACAGCTGATTTATTGTACGTGCCTAAGTTACTCATAAAAGTAAAAAATTACAGTCAGACGTTTATCATCATGTATAAGATTGAAGTCAGCTAAAGATGAATATAACTTACTCCTCAATGTATTAGTCTTCTTTTCTATACTTCTAATTTGTTAACTTTTAATTCTAGTTAAAAAGATCTCAATAACCAATGTCGATTAAAACGTTTTCGGAAGAACATATACCTAGAAGCTGAGTGTGTGTGTGAGACTTTGGTAGTTTATTTGTTTAGTTTCATTAAAAATTGCTAGATTAAATTACGTAGATTATTTATAAAATATGTATATCATTTATCAAAAGCGCATGTAATTAATTAGCTCTATGTATGTTTTTTTATGAACATAGAGGAATTAGAATTTTAAAATGGGTACTGATAAGACTATTCGGATATAATACATGGTTTCCCTAATGTTAACCGCCGGAAATAGTTTGACTGAATGTATCTAGTTTTAACATGTTAGTTTGGTTTCTTTGAAATCTCTTACAATAGGATTATCTTATTAATAAATTAACTAATCATGTCAGTACACATCATAAACTAATGCCCTCGTCAATCTCGTTAAAACCGTAGCCTTAATTATTTCACAGATTAAAATCACGAGTCAGTTGAAGCTAGACCATCATGGAAAACCTGGAAGCACTGGACGGCCGTTTCGTCCTATTATGGGACTCCTCAGAAGTGCGCATCCACGATCGCGCACCCCTCAAGACGCAAAACCAGGACCTATCAGTCTCGCGTCAAACGCCTAACCAACTAGACCACTGAGCCGGCATCCAATGGTATTAATGTCTAATTTCAACCAATCCACTGAAGACAATGGTATACGGTGGCGCGACTTCGTGGATTGGTTGAAGTTAGACATTAACATCATTGGATGTCGGCTCAGTGGTCTAGTTGGTTAGGCGTTTGACGCGAGACTGATAGGTCCTGGTTTTGCGTCTTGAGGGGTGCACGATCGTGGATGCGCACTTCTGAGGAGTCCCATAATAGGACGAAACGGCCGTCCAGTGCTTCCAGGTTTTCCATGATGGTCTAGCTTTAATTGACTCACGATTTCAATCTGTGAAATTTCTAAAATCTCCACAAACCCCCTCCTTACTTATTTCTCAAAAATTCCTTATATCATATTTCTCATCTAAAATTTCAATCTATTGATTAGATCTCATCACCCTAAGATATCATTTTATTCTTACATAACCCTTTAACTTATTCAATGACTCATTTCATTCTTACGTAAGTGAAATTCAATGCATTCAATTTATAACTCCGACTACACTAATAACGACTTTGACAAGTAGTCCCCAATATTCTGTTGTATTTAACACAAAATTTATGTAATTTCATAGCCTAAGGAAAAATTATGGAAAATTATAATACACTAAATTATTTCTTGTTTTAAATTAGATGAATAATTAGAAGGGTATACTTATGTTTCATCTGCGAAATTAATTTATTGGTATAATTTTTCATATCACGATTTTTTTCCCCTGTAATTGTTTATTGATTAATTTACCAAGTTGACCTGCCCGAGCAATAATATAAGGAATTGTTTATAATCACCTAATTTGCTTTGGAATATTCTAATCCAAACGGGGAAGTACAATTACCTAATTGTAGAACTCTACAATGATTATGAACAATCATGTCAACATGAAGATTTTTAAATTTATTTACTTAAGAATTAGGATTTCCTAAGAATTTCATATTCTTGTGAAAACAGTAAATTATCTTCAGTCAGAAGTTGTGCAACATACGTTGATGAACGATTATCAGGATTTGAATCGGTTGGCGTAGACTAAACCGTTGTACTGAGCGTTGGAAGGCATGAAGTTTTAAAAGTTAAATGTTATGTTTAAAAAGAGCTTCTGTGTAGATGTAAAATTTAGAATAAACAAGATGAAATAAACTAAATTCATCTTACAATATTCATTCTTTTGGGTCTAAAAACATTTAGTTACGCAATAATTATACAAGGAATGTTGAATGATAGCGTAAATATTTGTATTTGAATTCGCTTTGCTCAAACTTATGATCATTTTGTGATGATATAACAATAACTAAGTAATCCTTGAATTTCTACTCTAGGTTTATGTAACAACCGTTGAAAGTTTTCAAACAAGACCACGCCAACGTCCAGTAACGCCCAAAATACAAATATCACAGAGTAGTATCACACAAAAACAGAATAAATATACAATTTGTCCTATCGCCACAGCTCATTTATCGTGGCCTAATTATTTACGCCAGTTACAATCAAATCAAACAACTGAATATAGTTCCGGATTTCTGTATACATCTCCAGTCACAAATTATACTTTACATTATGCAGAAGTAATGAATAATAGTTTCAGTGAAGATATTTATAGTAAGAATCCAAATAATTATGGTTCTGTTAACTGGAAGACGTATCAACCAGCACCACAGATTGATGAAGTGAATGATTTCTTAGTAGATGGGTAAGTTGATATCTTTTTCTGTAGGATTTATTCATGAAATAAGATACGATTCTATTGCTTTGTTCACGTGAAAATATTCTATTGAAAATCTGTCTCAAAAACTTAGTTCAAATCTTAGAATTAAACTATTTTGTGCAGGCGTAAATTCGTTCTATTCTATTTTGCTTCTGTTTCCCAACTGTAAATTTTCTTTAATACCATATGTTTGAAGGTAGTAAAGAATTGTCAGAACAAAATCTGCAGTGGTACAACAACGTTCTGGTTTATTAAAATTTAACTGTTTAATATTTAAAAACAGATGCTCGAAACGGTTTTAAACAAAAATTAGCAACTCTTCATATTCAACTGTACATTTTCACAATCAGCCTAGCTCCCATGAGAACATTATATATACTCTCATATAGTTAATGAACATTTTGCAAATTAGGCATTATAGTATGGTTTTTCTATTTTACCAAGTAACTCTGTAATGTTGTGCTAAATATAATTCGGTTGTCATCACCTGTGTTCTTACTTACTTACTTACACCTGTTACTCCTCGTGAAGGAGCATAGGTCGCTCACCAGCATTCTCCATCCAACCCTGTCCTGGGCAATACTTTCCAGCTCCTTCCAGTTGTAATTCATCCTTTTCATATCTGCTTCTATTATCCGACGTAATGTGTTATTGGCCTTCCTCTTTTCCGCTTCCCTTCAGGATTCCAAGTTAGGGCTTGCCTCGTGATGCAGTTTGACGATTTGCGTAATGTATGTCCTATCCATTTCCATCGTCTTTTCCTAATTTCCTCTTTAGCTGGAAGTTGGTTTGTTCTCTCCCACAGAAGGCTATTGCTGATGGTATCCGGCCAATGGATGTTGAGTATCTTGCGTAGACAGCTATTTATAAATACTTGTACTTTCTTGATTGTGGTTGTTGTAGTTCTCCAAGTTTCGGCTCCATACAGTAGAATTGCCTTGACGTTCGTATTGAAGATTCTTACTTTGATATTGGTTGAAAGTTGTTTTGAGTTCCATATGTTCTTCAATTGTAGGAATGCTGTCCTTGCTTTGCCAATCCTCGCCTTTACGTCTGCATCTGAACCTCCATGTCTATCGACGATGCTTCCCAGATATGTGAAGGATTCTACATCTTCCAGAGTTTCGCCATCAAGAGTGATTGGATTGCTGTTCTCCGCTTTGAATTTGAGGACCTTCGTTTTCCCTTTGTGTATGCTGAGGCCTACTGATGCAAAGACTGCTGTTACACTGGCTGTCTTCATCTGCATCTGTTCGTGTGTACGTGATAGGAGGGCTAGGTCATCTGCGAAGTCCAAATCGTCTAATTGATTTTGAGCTGTCCATTGTATTCCGTGTTTTCTTTCAGATTTCGAGGTCTTCATAATCCAGTCGACCACCAGAAGAAAGAGGAAGGGAGAGAGTAAACAGCCTTGTCTGACTCCGGTCCTTACTTGGAATGCATCTGTCAGCTGTCCTCCATGCACTACTTTGCACTGTAGTCCGTCGTATGAGTTCCGGATAATATTGACAATCTTCTCAGGAACTCCGTAATGTCGAAGAAATTTCCATAATGTCCTCCTATATACACTGTCGAATGCCTTTTCGTAATCAATGAAGTTGATGTACAGTGACGAGTTCCACTCAACTGATTGTTCGACGATGATCCGTAGTGTTGCAATTTGGTCTGTGCACGACCGATCCTTTCGGAATCCAGCTTGTTGATCTCGAAGTTGGGCATCTACTGCATCCTTCATCCGGTTCAGCAACACTCTGTTGAAGACTTTCCCTGGTATTGACAGTAGTGTGATGCCTCTGTAGTTTTCACATTTGCTCAGATCTCCTTTCTTTGGAATCTTGATGAGGTGTCCTTCTTTCCAGTCCATCGGCACTTGTTCCTCCTCCCAAATCTTTTTGAATAGAGGGTAAAGCATGCTTGTGGTTACTTCGACGTCTGATTTCAGTGCTTCAGCTGGTATGTTGTCGGGTCCTGCTGCTTTCCCGTTCTTGATTTGTCTGACGGCCATTCTAATTTCTTTCGTCGTTGGTGGGTTGACATCTATAGGAAGATCTGTGTGTGCTGCTTCGATGTTCGGTGGATTCATTGGAGCCGGCCTATTCAGGAGTTCCTCGAAGTATTCTACCCATCTGTTTCGCTGTTGTTGAATTTCAGTGATTGGCTTGCCTTCTTTGTCTTTGACCGGCCTCTCTGGTTTACTGTATTTCCCTGATAGTTTCTTCGTTGTATCGTAAAGCTGTTTCATATTTCCTTCTCTAGCAGCTTTTTCTGACGTCGTTGCTAATTCTTCCACGTATTTCTTCCTGTCGGCTCTAATGCTCCTCTTCACTTGCTTGTTTGCTTCTATGTATTCAGCTTGTGCTTGGACTTTCTCTGCTCGTGTTCGGCTGTTGTTAATTGCTGTCTTCTTGTTCTTCCTTTCTTTGATCTTGTCCAGTGTTTCTATAGAGATCCATTCCTTATGATGGTGTTTCTTTAGGCCCAGAACCTCTTGACACGTTGAAGTCAATGTTTCTTTGATGCCTTTCCAGTTGTCCTCCATGGTAGTTTCTTCTTCCTTCAGTAGATCTTGAAAGGCTTGGAACCTGTTGTTGAGAGCTATCTTCAATTCGTTGATTTTGTTAGTATCTCGAAGGAAGGCTGTATTGAACCTTTGTAGTGCTGTTTGTCCACTTGTCCAGTTCTTTTTTAGCTTCAGTTTTAAATTGGCTACAACTAGGTGGTGATCTGAAGCTACGTCAGCTCCTCTCCTGGTTCTCACATCTTCCATTGTCCTTCGGAATTTTTTGTTGATGCAAATATGGTCTATCTGGTTCTCTGTAGTGTGGTCCGGTGAGATCCATGTAGCCTTGTGTATACGTTTGTGTGGAAATATTGTGCCTCCTATGACTAATTTGTTGAATGCACACAAATTTGCAAATCTTTCTCCATTTTCGTTCCTCTCTCCCAGTCCATGTCGTCCCATAATATCTTCATATCCAGTGTTGTCTGTTCCGACTTTGGCATTTAGATCTCCCATCAGAATGGTGAGGTCCTTTCTTGAGCATTTCTCTATGATTGACTGCAGCCGCTCGTAGAATTGATCTTTAATGTCGTCGTTGCTATCATTGGTGGGTGCATAACATTGGATAATATTCATTAAGATCCCCTCCTTCTTTGTTTTGAATGATGCTTTAATGATTCTGGATCCGTGGGATTCCCATCCTACAAGTGCATTTCGTGCTACTTTGGACAGCATTAGAGCAACTCCCTGAGTGTGTGGAGCATTTTCCTCTTCGTGACCGGAGTATAGCAGCATCTCTCCCGTAGCTAGCCTTTTCTGTCCAGCTTGGGTCCAGTGGGTTTCGCTGATTCCCAGTACTGCCAAGTTGTATCTCCTCATTTCCGTTGCTATTTGACTGGTCTTCCCGGTTTCCCTCATTGTTCTAACGTTTCATGTACCTATAAAAATTTTTGCTCTGGTTGTTAGAAGGGGCATCGGCCTCGTGGCTTCCGAAGGAACTCGGCTTTCACCATGAAGCGTCATAATTCTTCTAAATGAAGACCTTCTAACTCTCAGGGCAGAGTTAAAATGGTTTGAATTATTTTTTCTGGTAAGCGTTTTTTTAGCGAGTTAGTTTTCTACGGGATGGGGACGCTAACCCCATGCCCAACCCTCCTCCTTTACCCGGGCTTGGGACCGGCAGTAACTCTAGAAGAGCTACAGGCGGAGTTATCACCTGTGTTCGCCTTCACTAAAGTACCATATCATTGACTATATTATCTTTCTACTTATAGGACTTCTATGTTTTTTATCTGTTAACCCTACACTATGTTTGAAGAAATATTTTAGATTATTTCCCAAATGAATGTCCATTTCAGGTTTCTGTTACTATATGTTATCACATATTAGATGTCTGATTTCACATATATGTCATCACAAAACCTTGAACACAATAACCAATTAGATTGAAATGAATGAATAACTTAGGAGTTAGGCATTTTACCCTTTACGCATTTTGAGTGTTTAAATGTATTCACTTCATAAATATGGGACTTTCTAACTACACTGCTAAACATGAAGCTAATAAGTATGATGTTCACTTAAGTTCAACTAAAAATTTTGATAGACATCTGTGATAGTCAATGGACTGACTAATACTCTTTATTTGTGCCTAATTAAGACTAACAGTCTTAGTGTTGCGTTCAGTTTCTATGACAAAAATAACTATATATAAAATGAAATATGGAGGTCACTAGTACAGAACTATTTATTCTAGCATAATTTATCACTAATACGTTAAAACAGTAGTTCATAAATTAAATTCTCACGGGTAAAACTACGAACTCTGCCTGCAGTTTTTCTAGAGTTACTGCCAGTCTCACGTCCACAAAAGTGAGGAGGGTTGGGCATTGGGTCGGCAGCCTTATCCCGTAGAAAATAATCTTGCTAAAAAAAAAAAAACCAACTTACACAAATCAAACCATTTAAACTCTGTACTCTTAATTGAAGGATCTTCATTCAGAAGAATCATGATGTTTCTTGATGAAAGCCGAGATTCTTCGGAATTCACGAGGTTGATGCAACTTCTAGCTACCAGAGCAACAAATTTTACAGAAACATGGACAACGTGAGAGACCGGGAAGACCAAACAAATAGCGTCGGAAATGAAGACATACAATTCGACGCCAAAGTCGGGATGGCCAAGATATCATGAGACGACACGGACTGATTGGGAGAAAGGAACGAAAATGGTTCAATACAGAGTTCCTTCGAGATACTGACAAACCGAACGAATTAAAGATAAATTTCAACAACAGGTTACAAGCGTTACAGGATCTACTGAAAGAAGAAAAAACTACTATGGATGATAATAATTATTACAAAAAATGACGAATTAGATTGTTTGTTTTTGTCGTAAATATTTCAATTTTTGACGACAATAAATTCAATTTTCTGTATTTGCTTTTAGGCTCCTACCTTATAAAATGTACATTTTTCGTCTAGCTGCTCAAACTGATACTGGAATTAGTCCTTTCAGTCTACCAACTGATATTTTGGTAACAAGTCCGCAAAGACCTTGCTATTATTCAATTAAATTAGAATTTGAACTGAGATCTCATCTGCACTTTGAAATATCCCAAAGTTCTGGTCAGACCGCAAGGAGACAGAGAGATATTGTAACAAGGGGTTATTGTGAATATTTATTGTTAAAGTGGAAAGTGAGTTTTATTGTTTTCTACATTCTGGCTCTTTATATTTATTCTTTTTTACAAAAATAAAGATACTCGTATGGAAAAATGAAATTGTAGTGTATTTTTAACACCAGAACATGGTTCGACTGAATTTACTATTGCTATAGTAAATGAAACTGAGAGATCAGATCGAAAATATCAAATGTGATGTAGTGTAATATCAAATATATTGCTTAAAGTAAGTAAACGTTTAGATATCAATGAGGCTAAGAAGTCGACTAATTTCGTCACTGATTTGTTTGCCAACAGTCTGTCGAGTATTGCTTTTGATTATTTTCTACTATTTATATTATTGTAAGCAAACATGGTTATCGAGATCTTTAATCTACCTCAGTCCAGTATCCACTGATAATCAAGAACTAATAGAAAACTGTTTATCCTGATAGGGGGTTCCACAGCGGTCCGCATCCACGAATCCATCTGGGAATAAAGTGGAAACTTCAGGTATCGGGATGAGAGGTTTATATTTGGACCACAAAGGTGGTATTCAGTGACTAATATGTTTAAATGGAACAGTTTGTTTCATTGTTCGGTAGCTGGAATATGACCTCAAACCAGAACTTTGCGATTTATTTCTCCGAATAAGTCATCAGTAAAAACATGGTAATTACAAGTAAAGAGAATAATTGGAGGTCGTTAAATGTCATCTAAGTTAAATAATCAATAAAAGCCAGGAAACACTGGATTGATGATTCTTCCTAATACCATATACTGTCGAAATTGCTGTTCAGTACTTTTTGGTTTTTATTGGCTGTTCAACTTTGATCAGTTCATGATTTCGATAACAGTTAACAATATCCACATACAACTTATACTGGCAAACATGTTTAATAATTTATCGAGTTTATATAAACATTGTAAACGAGTTTTTATGAATGTATAATAGTGCCAATCTCCCCATTATTCATCAACTCTGTGGTAAATAATGTTTAAACAAGTTCTGTAGATTTCGTTAGACATTAGCTCTACAACAATAAATAATATGTATTTTAAAGATGTCAATATATAAAGGATTCAATTGTTATCTCATACTTACACTTATGTGATATCTAGATAATGATAAAAGTACCAATTTTTGGAACAATATAATCTTCTTATAAGTAATAATTGCCAAATATGAACTGCTACATAGTACTTTGCAATGACAATATTGTTTGGATGTATAAATAAATTAATGCAGAAAGAATTTTTCTTCTTTTTTATGAATATGATTATGAATGATGTGAAAGATTTCTTTTATTTCCATTACATGTTAATAACAATGGTACAAACCAATTTTCTTGCTTTCTGTTACAATTATTTTTGATCGTAAATTTTGAAAGCAACATGCCAACATGTCAATGTACTTAGTGCAAAATGTATAATGTGTACATGGAGAATACCTTGTTATGCTTATATACAAAATCATATGACGTACTATTATTTACAACAGAAAATTATATAAACTGAAGTAATCTGTGAAAAGTCGGGAAAAAGTATAACCTAATCCTTTCAATGAACAAAATAATATTGTTGAAAATAAAATAAAATAATTGAATTAAGAGAGTGAAAATTATTGAAATTAATAATTAATGAAATTTAAGCCAGACCATCGTTGAAAGTCTGGAAGCACCAGATGGCCGTTTCATCCTAGTATGAAACGTTCCGGCAGTGCTCATTCACGATCTCCAACAAGGGACTCCATCTCAGTACCTCCGGCCTCGCGCGCCAACGCTTAACTCCTAAACCACTGATCCGGCGTCCAACGGTGGTGATGTTCGAATTCAGTCAATCAATGATCTTGTGCAACCCTTCGTGAATTCAACTATGAAAATACTAGTCTCTGCAAATCCCCAATCTGATAATAATAATAATCATGTTCTGATTAGTGACTAACTTTATTATGGATCCCATGGAGTTTTAGTGATAAGCCGTGACCAGTGGGGTCCAATCCGTGTCGGATGGAGACTCTTATCCACTTTAGACAATGGATGAAGGGTTGCACAAAATCATGGGCCGATTGAAGTTAAACACTAGCATCGTTGCATACCGACTCAGTGGTCTAGAACTAGGGCGTCCGCTCGCAAGACCAAAGGTCTTTGGTTCGAACCCCGCCTGTGGGATTGTTAATGGGCACTGTTAAGGAGTCCCACACACCGACGAGACAGCTTTTCACTACTTCCAGGTTTTCAATGTTGGTCTAGCTTAGATTAAATCGTGAACTGAACTTTGAAAATTCTTTAATCTCCACAAATCTTCATTCTGATTTGATTTGTTTGTTTGTTTAATTTTGTCAAAGTTTGTTTAAATTATTATTATTATCTTTTTGAATGTTGTATAGGCATTAAACTATCGTCAATGGAATAGTCAACCTGGTTGGTATCATATCACATATAAATTATGGTTATCAAATGATAATAATACACATACTCAATTATTCAATTTATTTATAAAACATGATGAAAATAAAATTAAAAATTCATATTTCCATATAGAATTGAAAAATTTAATACCAAATAAATATTATTTATTTTCTATTGAAGCTATAAATGATTATAGTACAACTAATACATTCTCTTCAATGATACAATTATCATCACTGATATTTATTAATAGTGGAATTGGATGTAATCAAATACAATTACAGTATAATCATCAAATGAAACAAATGACTGAATCATTAGTTATATATAAGATGAATAAGATCAATTATCCTGTATTATTAAGTAAACTTGTATTAAGTCCAATTAATTTTTTCTGTTTCTCTGATCCTATTCAAGTTTTGATTAAATGTACATGGGATTATAAAGAATTTCAAGGTATTTTAGGATTTATTGTAAGTCAAGCTACGGTGTTTTGTTTTTAAAAAAAATTTTTTTAACTATTGATTTGATAACTTATTCAGTATACAGAAGACCGGTGAACCATGTACCTATTTATATTCTATAATTTTGATGTTTGATTATATTTCCTTGAAAAAGCTTGGACCAGATTGCCAGGTGAAACATTGGATTTACTTCAAATTCATTCGCTGAGATTTTCCAAATACATCCTTTCTCTTTGAACTATTTCATATGTTTAAAAATCTTCAAAGAATATTCAAAAATGTAGGATATTTGAGCGAACAATTGTTTTCAAGAACTTCATCATCATAACGAATCCAATTTCGGTTCCTAATGCTCACATACGACCGGTTCACAGCGGATTTTAGAGAGGACATTATAATTGCGTTGCTACAACAAATATGACTACTAAGAAATTCCTGTAAGAGTTTCTGCGACCATGTCATGGCTCCAGAGGCTGACTGTCATGGAGCCATATGGATGAGTCCCTGTACCATATGCATTACGGTTTTAGAACCTCTGAATCTCTTTCTAACCTTGACAAGATTTTGAACTATGTAAAAGAAATGCAACCAGTTTGGTTTTGCATAATATATTTTTACTCCACACTACCTTTTTCCTGGTTGACTAATATCTCTAAAGGTCGTTCAAGATTCGTGCAAAGGTCGTCCATCAATTATAATCTCCCCGATTAAGCCTGTTTATTTTTAGATAATAATGAGTCTTTGTCTCAAAGTGATAAGTTAACGTGTTCCCTAATTTGTAAAAGTCAATATTTTATATAAGGTCATCAAAATATGGATGTGTCATTTATTTAAACGAAAACTACCACACCACATGGTACTTGAACACAACTGAAAATTATAGTTAATAACAATTCACCGACCTCCAGCTTTTCAACCAGAAAGTTATAGTCTGCTATACAACTGCTTTTTGTTAATAATTCGACACGTTGAAGACCTTACTAAACCACTAGGGTTTAAACCCATAGACATCAAGCCTACTGAATATTAGAATACATTTTGATTTACTGCTAGGCTGTTCGCAGCTTCATTCAGTTTATTTTTTAAATGAATGAATCAGTGAAGAATGCAGTTCCCGAAATTACTTAAATAAGCTAATACAATGTGTTTAGTTGTCACTACACGTACATGCTTTAAACAAGATTAAACGAAATGAGATTTATACGTAAAATATGTTTGATAGTGCATGTAGATATTCAAATGGCTGAACTACTAAGAACTAACCAATATCATATTTGGTTTTTACTCTCTTATCTATCTACTCGCTCATCTGAGTCACTATTCACCCTATGTAATATGTTATAATTTCGGGTATTTGGAAAAACTGGTCATTAATTACGAGTCAGCAAAAAGTACTAATAATCTTTGAAGAAGTGTTAGTTTAGTAGGTTACGAAGTTATGGAAAAATAATAGTAGCTTACATGTAGTAAAACGTATATTCATAAACTGATGATTTTTCTGTTTCATTATAATATATTTGTATTATAGTTAGAACTACATGAATACGGTGACATAAACTATAACATCTCCTATGATTCCATTAAAATTCATTCCATCTTCATTAAGCCACATGTACACGGTATTTTGTTATATTCTGCATCAAGTATAACTCAATCAAATGTTATCCTATCAGGTCAAACAATTATTAAACCATATTTTTATTATAAAATGTCAATTCACGTTATAACAACGGGTGGACATGGACCAAAAGCATATTCCCCGCAATCCAATTATAAAGGGACACAAAGTAATACAAATGTGAAATTACATCATTCAATAGAAAATGATTGTTTATCTGGTGAACTGTTATGTACATCACAATCACCACCGAACTCTCCATTTTCATTAGCATCTCAATGGTTATCAAGAAATCTAATTAAACTTGAATGGTCACAACCTGAACAATTGAATGGAAAACTTGTAAATTATCGTGTCTCATGGAGTGAAATTACTTTTCCATCCAAAGATAATCAACTTACTGACAAAAGTAAGTAATTGAATATAAATTCATTTTTACTAAACATAACACTCTCAGTTTCTTTTGACGTATTGTATCGATTATACAATTATTTGCGAAACATGAAATTTGAAGGGGCTGTGAACAATTTACCTCCCTTTGTTTTCATTAAAGATTCCCGAGACAAATTTATTAATTACCGACGAACCTGCTGGAATGGATTCAACTGATGTATAATTTATACCATTTTTTTCTCGTTTCTAACAGTACCTACTGATTCATCTGAGCTCGTTAAAAATCAATGTTTCACCATTTTTGCAGATTTAGTGCGGTACCTATCGATAAGGCGGCCTGCTTGAATATCTGGGCTACCTGTTCCTCCGATCTAGATATTTCATCAAGTTATCTGTTTTGTTGTTTGTTTTAGCACATCATTATGTCTTATGTGCGCACAATTTATTCAGGCGCGTTTATGAAAAGTTTACAACCTTTCGCTATACGTGATACAAAAAGGTACAATCAGCGACATCATGGTGGCTGGCAATATGCATTGAAACGAATGAACATTAATCAAATGTGGATTACCGAACTCCTAACATCTAACCGGTCATCATTCAAAATTTATCGTCACAATAGATCAAGGTATAAGAAAAGGAAACTTGTTGAAATACTTTATACTGAGAATTCTATGTTGTACCAAAAATATAATGTTGAATAAAGCTTCTAGTAATAATAATAATATCACCATTACAATAATAATTTGTTCTTGAAAATTACTTTTAGTACCTACAATGTTTTTTTCACGTTTTTCTGGACTCAAGTTAGACAATCTTTAAAAACCAGTGGTCATGGAACAGCTGATTCATAGTGGTGTGAGGCTTCTCAGTAATGTATATCCAACCCAGCCATCAGGAAAGAAACTTAGGGCCTTTAGTCTAGCTCACAGATGTTTAACTTTTGGACCACTGAGCTAAGATCTAATAGTCTGGTAGTCAGACTTCAGTCAATGGCATTCTAACATGATGAAAGCCGAGATTCTTTGGAATTTACGAGGCTGATGCCCCTTCTAACAACCAGAGGAAAACGTTTTACAGAGACTTTCATACAATGTGGAAGACTAGAAGGATTAGTTAAATAGTTTCTGAGATTCAGAGATACAACTTGTCAGTGCTCGGAATCAGCGAAACGCATTGAACACAAGCTAAACAGCAAAGGTTAGATACGGGAGTGATGCTTTTGTACTCCAACCACGAAGAGGAAACTGCTTCACACACTCAGGGAATTGCTCTAATGCTGTCCAAAGAAGCACGTAAATCACGTATACAATGAGAATCTTAAGGATCCAGGATCATCAAATCATCTTTCAAAAAAAGCAGAGAGGAAATCACAATGAATGTTATCTAATGTTATGTACCCACCAATGATAGCAATGACGACTATAAAGATCAGTTCACTCCATCTATGATCGACGAAATCAGGATGGCCATCAGACAAATCAGGAGTGGGAAGACAGCTACACCTGACAACATACCAGCTGAAGCTCACAAGTGATGACCGGTGTCAGACAAGGTTGCTCACTCCCACTCTTTCTACTTCTTGCGTTAGTTGACTGGACTATGGAGACCTCTAGATCTGAAAGAAAGCACGGAATACAATGGACAGTTTGGATGCAACCAGACGGTTTGGACTTCACGGATGACCCAACTCTTCTATTCCTTACAGACCAACAAATGCAGATGAAGACAACTGGAGTAGCAGCAGCCTCTGCATTTGTAGGCCTCAACATGCACAAAGGAAAACCAAGATCCTGAGATACAACATGGAGAACACCTACACGGTCACACTCGATGGAGAAGCTCGGGACCATATGGGATCTTCCACATACCTGGTCAGCATCATTAATGAACTAAGAGGATCTGATGCAGATTTAAATTCGAGGTTTCTGGAAGCAAGGGCAGCATTCCTACTGTTGAAAAACATATGGAACTCAAAACTGTCGACCAACCTCAAAGTCAAAATCTTCAATGCGAACGTCGAGATAGTCCTACAGTATGGAGATGAAACATCAAGAACTACCACAACCATCATCGTGAAGCTGAAAGTATTTATAAACAGTTGTCTAGTCAAGATACTCAATGTCCGTTGAACGGGAAGCATCAGTAACAACCTATTGTGAGAGAGAACATACTAACTTCCAGTTGAATTGAAAATTAGGAAAAGACGTTGGGTTATAATAGACGTAAATGAACCTAAATCATAAATCTTTATTATGAATCTTTGAGTTTGTGTTAGAGAGGTTTGGTAGTTATTTCCATGAATAGTTTACTTAACTCATTAGTTTACGCAATTAGAGTGCTGATTATGATATTGTGTAAAAACAATTTTCACTTAAGAATGTGAGTTGATAAAACAAATGTATATCAATGCAAAAATACCTAAATGACAGGCCTTAAGAAAGTAACATTTGGGTTATTCAATATGATACATTAGATGGAAAACTGATATTTTCAGTAAACTTTACATACTGTTATCCTGAAAACGCATAAGTACTTGAAATTATGAAAGGTTTATTCCCAATAAATTTTCTTCCACTTTACAGTAAGTTATTAAAAGTTAAATCTGATTTAGAGGTTACCTATATATTATAGTTTCATACTTTATGTATACTTAAATCCATCATCATTCATTCAGTAGTGACTTACCATTTGTTTAGTTTCCGCCTGCAGTGTAAATGGAAAGAACACATACAAAAATAAGGAACAATTAACTCCCTCTTAAATGTGGTTTGTAGATTAGTTTTTGAGACTGATCAATTTCAATTCATATCCTATGCTGATTACGTAATAATGTTTAATATTAGTTGCATTTTCGTAAATTAACAAAAAGGTCACTAATTAAAGAGTTAGTTTAACGAATCTATTATTTTACTTTATTTAAAGATTCAACGAATAGCAAAGAAATTGAGCAACAATTTACAGTGATACTAAAATCATTTGAAACAACATATACCATAGATCAGTTACATGAAAATACTTCATACATATTTAAAGTATATGCTCGAACACAATCAAAACAAAATGATGGTTGGAGTACACCAACTTGTATTTATGCGTCAACAAGTTATTGTTGGTTTAATTCACCTCAAATAACCGGAATCATATCTCAACATAAATGTGATTTTAAAAATTTACTCAAAACAGTAAGTACTAAGTTTATTTATGATACAGTTAATACATTGATGGTGTCTTTATGAAATTGTCACTATAATCATTAGATTTAAGACGGTTGTGAGTGATCTATCATGATTATAGATAAATAAAAGTATATTTTCATAAATAATTTCTTGATTATCTTGCATCAATGACATGCTTATTGCTATTAGCCTTCAAACAGAGCATAGCAATCTTCTCAAGTCGTTCATAAAATATCTATTTAAATGCAAATAATAAAAATGTAATTTATCTAGTAAATAAATAACTTGTTCAACGTCAACAATGTTCAGTCAAATGTACCCAATCAGATGATCATATGTTGGAACTTGAATTTTCATTAAAATACTTCAACCATGTACGATGCAAGATAATCAAAGATTAAGGCGATTGAAATATGAAAGAGCAATATCGCAAACTGATGAAGTTCATGGATGTACACCAATGGTCGTCAAGTCATGGTCTGAAGGTCATGAGCTTTCTTCGAGATCTGAATATATTGGGTTTGATTTGCGATGAATCGTATGTGAGCACTGCTGAAGTATATATATATATATATATATATATATATATATATATATATATATATATATATATATATATATATATAAGATGTTAAAGTAGTCTTTGATGTTTACGAAGCGATTAGTTGGTAAAAGCTGACTATTCAGATTTAAGAACAAAAGTGTAAATTACAGCTATAATATTAACTATTTAAATAAGATGTATAAGTGTGCAGTATAAATGGCTTTTTGAACTTGATCATTCGGTCCATTTTATATTAATTCTTATTTTAAAATGTTTGTTAAAAAGGAGATAAATTCCTGTAACATAGGACATTTTCAATAGTGCCAAACAGAAAACCTTGAAATACACCTTTACATCATCTTGGTTGCATTGGTAATAACCTAACTTTCTAGTCATTCTGTAGTTTGTTTCCTCGAACGTTATTCATTACTTATGAGAGTTTGGGAGTTTACGTAATAAATATTCCATGTATAAGACTAACACATCCTAATATTATTGTCAGTAACCTTCGTTTTAATTTTAAATTTCTACACTTAATCATGTAGCATAAAGACACTTTTGGATCTGGATGTTAGTTAGGCTCATGATGATTATAAGAGAAAGGTGAACATACATGGAAATCCCAATCTAGCACAGCACGGTACGTTAACAGCCCGCGATTTTTCCTCCTTAAGATAGTGTTATGTATGCGTTAAACATTAGATGGATCAGTGTAAAATGTAATGAGGAATATTTTAGTAGAACAAAACGAGAGACTATTTGATTATGTTTTTAAAAAAATAACTTTATGTATGTACAGAGTCATTGAACTATCTAATTTTGCAAGGACTGAATCGAAAACATTTTTTATCCTTGAAAAGAATATTCTGCATGAAACATACTTCATAATGAGTCATAATTATTCGTGTTAGTATTTACTACTAATTTACTGTTTTACATTTCATTTTAGATTGACCCAAGCTTGGAAAAGTTTTGTTCATTCAATTCACCAATATTACGTCGTCCAGTAGTGTTTATCAGTAGTATAAATAAAAATGCGACGAATCAAAAATTTAAAAATTTGACTAGGAATTCATTACAGTTTCATTACAATGAAACAAATATAAATTATGCATCAACTGTCATTACAATTCTATGGAGTGAAGTCATGTCTGGGATCAATTCGATTACGCATATATTAATTGAATTACGTTATTCATGTAGGTTATTTAGTACCATGAGAATATGTTTTCTCATGTATGAAAAATAGCACTTCAGTGTACATTTTATTCATGACAATATTGATAATATAAATGCTCACAGACAAACATTTGATAAATCTTCACAGCGTCAGTACATAGTTTGATTAACAGTCGTTATTAGTAACTCAACATAAATTAGATATGAAAAATTGTTTCCAGTATCATGTACTCAGTCATGACTAGCTTCGAGAGGTAATTCTCGGAGTTCTAATGGGAAGCCACGACCAGTGGAGCTAATCCGTGTTGGGTGTGAGGCAGTTACCCACCAAAGACAATGGAAGATGGTTGCGTAATATCGTAGATGGGTCAGACATTAACACCGTTGTATCTCGACTCAATAGTCTAGAGGTTAAGCGTTCAAGTTGACAACCGAAGGTCCTGAGTTCGAACCCCGTCCAGGAGATCGTGAATGCGCACTGCTGATAAGCCCCATACGAAGACGAAATGGTCATCCAGTTCTTCTAGGTTCTCAATGGTGGTTTAAGAATGATCCATTCATCTTCTCAATCAATCTTTTCAATAACTGAACATCTGGAAAATAGGTATTTCAGTAATGTTAGTAAAGCAGGTGATTAATACTTGTTTTTCACAGTTGAATTCACGAAACTATCTAAGCTAAACCACTGAAAACTTAGATGCACTGAATGGTCGTTTCTTTTTAATACGGTAATTCTCAGCAGTGCTAATCCACGATCCCGCACACATCTAGCCATGACCATTCAGGATGTTTAACCATTATTTATTTGTCCCATCAAATTACTAGACTAAGAATGAATTAAAAGGTACACATAATACTGCAGATTTATAGGAACTGTTTAATGTAAGTAGTAAGGTGAGTGAAAAATTGTAGCAATGAAAAAATGTTCATATTTAATGTCTGGTCGATCTATAAGTTACGTTTTTTCTGACTATTTGATATAAGCATGCACCAGTTTGAGTGTTATCAGACGTGAGTGAACTAAAGATTTAGATAAATATCAAGCGACTGAATGTGTTATCTATCACAGCATCGTGAACCTGTGATTTGAGCCAACAAAATCTGAAGTTGGCATTTTCATTGGAAGCAGCAATATTCAACGTTATTTCTTTTAACATTTTGTCTTCGTTTATGATTCATTGATTTAAAATTCATGTGATGACGTGTAGATATTTTATAATCAAAATTATTCACAAGACACTTTAAATAGTGCATTCAGTTATGTTCAAGTTATGTAAATCTATTTAATACGAGAGATCCTATAGCTACTTCTTATTCTTATTCTTCTTCTTCATTAGAGTTTGTTTATTATGCAAGTACGGTTGACATAAGATGACGTTTTAAAAGTGTTTAAAAATAGATTCGTCTTTGATAATAGTAAACTTAAATATTTGTGATGATCATTTTCTAGTTTACCAGATAGTAAATTACTTTAAACTGGTATTATAATAATAATGTTTTATCCTACAGGGAACTTGAACAAATGGTATTCTTTTACTATGATAAACAGTTCAATGAGATTGTACACTTTTGATTTTGAAGATTTAACAAAACTTTCAGTCAATTTAAATAAGGATTTAAAGCATTCATTTAATGCAGTGAAAAGAAAAGTGAAATCACAAACAACAATGAATGAAATCAATCATGAAGCGACAATACGAATGATTACAGCTGCATTTACTGATGCTAATGTTCCGATAGATTCTACAACACATGTAGCTATTCAATTTCGTGTATCTCCAGTTAATCAATTTCAAATAGGTCTACCTAGTCAAGAGTCAGACTGGAGTGTTATAAAGTGTAAGCAAAGTATATTTGATTGTTATATTGTTCTGGTAAATTAAAGAGAATATATATTTCAACAGTATATTCATCAGTAGAAAATGGATATACCTGCCAGTGTATGGACGATGGACAACTTCTGTTTGTTTAAATCATTAAAAATACTTCTCCTGGAACAACTGGTAGAGATAATTGGTTTTAGGAAACTAATCATCTCGAAAAAATGACCATTAGTTGCAAGGAACAAATTATTGGGTCGGCCATGCACAACTGTTTTGTGAATATTTAATTTTATAGCTTTAGCATGTTGTTTTTTAATCCATACCACCAGGATTGGAAACCCGTCGGCTTCAGAATACTATTGAAAGTAATTAAATAAGACTGAAATCTTTGTGATTAAAACTGATGACAAATTAACCTTTATTAAAATCAACATATTTTATGCTGACTGGTTTATATATGACTGTGTGCGATATGGAGTAAAAGGATCTCATGGTATAAATATTTAAAATTCATTGGTCAGTCATAAAATATGGTGAATAAAACTGAAGATGGGTAAGTTGAATATGAAACTAAGATTTAGCGCAGTTCTGAAGTGGTTATGATAAGTCATATGTTCAAAGAAAGATATGAGGTGAATTTTGTTCATGATCTGGATGGTTTGATACCTTAAATCATTTTATGAGAAAACGTCTCAGACTGACTGTCAAAAAGTAACTAAATAGACTTTAAAGTATCCGTTAGAGATATTAATATATTTAAAACCCTGTCACTAACAAACACAATCAAATAAAACCTGGATGAATAAGTAGGTGGTTCTCCAATTTCTCAGTAAATCCTGAGCTAGGACGTGATACAGATTCTCATGTAGTCTGGTGTTATAGCTTACAAAATTCTACCTAAATGATGCTTGGTGATAAAATAACAGTTTTCTTAACTTGTCTGAAGTTTCCGATGAATTTGGTTATCTTTTCTTTGAGTTTAAAATATGTTTTTATTTGAAGTTATATCTGTAATAACTAAACATTAACTACAGTTATAATTTGGCTATTAATACATTTCCTACTTTAATTATTTGAGATATTTGAATACACAATTTCATTCTAGACCTCAAGTCAAATAAACAACAGTGAATTTTAGGGAAAACTTCGCTTGTAGCTCTTCTAGAGTTACCACCCGGATATTGAAGCAGCACACACAGATATATATTACAGATGTCACTCCACCAACCAATGAAGAATTCAGGATAGTCATCAAAAAAATGAAGGATGGGAAGGTAGCACGACCTGACAACATACCAGCTGAAGCACTGACATCAGATATGAAAGTGACTGCAAACATGCTCGACATTCCATTTAGGAATATTTGGGAGGAAGAACAGCGGTCAGTGACAAACTCGAAAGAAGAACATCTCATCACGATACCAAGGTAAAATGATCTGAACAAAAGTGAGAACTACAGATGAACCAGACTAATATCGGTACCAGAAGAGGTTTTCAACTGAGTGTTTCTGGACTAAATCATAGATTCAGTAGACGCTCAACTTCGATACTAACAGACCGGATTCCGTAAGAATCAGTCATGCACAGACCAAATAGCAACACTACGGATCGTTGTTGAGAATCCAACTGAATGGAACTTGTCACTATACATCAACGTCCTTTACTGCGAGAAAGCATTCGACACTGTGGATAGGACAACATTTTGGAACCTTCTTTGACACTATGGTGTGGAAGCAAGGGCAGCATTCCTACTGTTGAAAAACATATGGAACTCAAAACAACTGTCGACCAACCTCAAAGTCAGATTCTTCAATGCGAACGTCGAAATAGTCCTACAATATGGAAATGAAACTTCGAGAACTACCACAACCATCATCGTGAAGCTGAAAGTATTTATAAGCAGTTGTCTAGTCAAGATACTCAATGTCCGTTGAACGGGAAGCATCAGTAACAACCTATTGTGAGAGAGAGAACATACGAACTTCCAGTTGAATTGGAAATTAAGGAAAGGCGTTGGAAGTGGATAGGACATACGTTACTGAAATTATCAAACTGCATCACGAAGCAAGAGCTAACTTAAAATTGTGAAGTGAAACGGGAAAAGGTACGTCAAATAACACACTGCGCCGGGAGTCGGAAACAGACATTAAAAAATGAATAGCAACTGGAAAGAACTGCAAGTGATTTTTCAAGACAGAGTTGGATAAAGAATGGTTAATGTTGGCCCATGCTTCTTCATGGTAGGTAACATGTGTATGTAAGTCAGCACATTTTTAGGAGGGAACCATCTCATCTTCATAAGTGCAGTGGTACATAAAATTATTCTGGAACATTTTTGTTTTATTGGTAAGCTTTTTGGTTGAGATCATGAATTAATTGATGTTAGACCACCGTTGGAAACCTGGAAGCACTGGACGGCCGTTTCGTCCTAGTATGGGACTCCTCAGCAGTGCGCATCCACGATCCCGCACCCCGCGGGATTCGAACCCAGGACCTACTGGCTTCGCGCCTGAGCACTTAACCATTAGACCACTGAGCCGGCATCCAATGGTGTTAGTATCTAACATCAACCAATCCAACGAAATTGCGCGACCACCTTCCATTGTACTGAGGTAGATAACTGTCTCTACCCGACACGGATTAGCTCCACTGGTCACGACTTCTCACTAGAACTCCGAGAATTCCCTCACGAAATCGCGACACTAACACCATTGGATGCCGGCTCAGTGGTCTAATGGTTAAGTGCTCAGGCGCGAAGCCAGTAGGTCCTGGGTTCGAATCCCGCGGGGTGCGGGATCGTGGATGCGCACTGCTGAGGAGTCCCATACTAGGACGAAACGGCAGTCCAGTGCTTCCAGGTTTCCAACGGTGGTCTAACATCAATTAATTCATGATCTCAACCAAAAACTTAACAATCTCCACAACCCCCATACTGATTGTTAGTAAGCGTCTAATTATTGACTTATCACCTCCCACACGTTTTAATTCACTGGTTTCGTCTTGAACTGTAGATTACTGGACGGTTTGGTTAATAAGAATACATGCCTTTTTTACCTGTATATCACTATCGATTAACTTACGGCAGTGAACAAATCTCCCAATATTTCTTTATAATAGTGGTAAATGTATTATCAGATTACTCACTGACCTTTCCTATTGATCACGATAAGTCCTCATATAAAGTGCTGTGATATTCTTACTGTTATTATAGTTCTATCTTACTGATTTTCCTTTTAAAAAACATTTTAATATTTACTTATTTATTTTATATAGTAAAAACAATTGTAACACCATTTTATCATCATTGGTGGTTTATAATCCTGTTAGGATTATGCGCTGTAACAATCATCTTCATTTTAATGATTACTTTGAAGTGGAATATACACAGAAGGCAACAATTAAATAAATCAACATTTGTTACTGAAAAATATGATTCCAAAGTATCTTCATCTAATGCTTTTATGAATGATTGCTGTTTAACATTTAAAGTATATCATTCAAACTATTTGACAAAAACAATGAACAATAATATCCAACCAAATGGTGAGATATGTGAATATCCAAATATGATTAATTCAACCTTTCATAACATTAGATCACCTGAAACAGTTGAATTAACAACAGGAATACACTATACTGAGAATTCTAATAATGCATTACATAATAATGAAAATCCTTTTAATCTTGTCCTAAATAATCATAATTGGGATGTTCTATACAATACTAGTCCAGAAATTCTTATTGCTCAAACAGACAGTTCACTTGGTAGTAAAGCTCCAAGTAATAGAACAGTTAGTACAAGTGAAGTAGAAAGATTTGATGATTTTACTCAAAATTACAATAATTGTGTAACAAGTCAAGGATTAATAAACAACTCAAATCAGTCATTATGTAAGTTTAGTTGATTAATTTACTTATATATTATTTTACAACAGTAGTACACAATATATTTCACTCCAGATTTATTTGACTCATATGGTGATCAAACCCCAACCAGTCTAAAAATAATGATTTAGTTTAATGTTATTATACGGTGCTATTCGACTGTCAAAAATTGTGGGATAAAATACCTAAAATTATTACAAATTATATTCCAATCGTATTTTAATACACTAGGTAAGCAATAGAGTTCACTATCATGAATCGTATTCATTTTCTCCATTGACAATTACTTCGATGGTCACCGTTTAATAATTCTTGGTAAGCTTTTTCTATTAGACAATTAAATGAGTTACAAAAAGTTATCCCAAATAAAAAAAGGATCGAATTGGTCGTAAATTTGAATGGATCATTTATAATTTTTTACTATTATGTTTATTATCAGTATATATTCTTAATCATCTGGATAATAAATCTGTTTGAAGCGTAATTAAACAGAGAAATTCCATTCAAAATGTCTTGTATACAAGTTGTAATAAATGTTTGAATAGAGGATAAAAAATATCGGTTGTTAGTATACGCTTTTGAAGAAATTGACTACACTATAACAAGGTTTGTTATGTAGCAGTTGGAAAAGCTCATATTTGACGATACTATAAGCAGAGATAGATGGTGATTAGTAGTGGAATCCAGGGCGCGTGTTTCATATCATTTGAGACTCGTCAACTACATTTACTCTACTTCTGATCCATGTGACTTAAGGCAATACAAACAAGATGCACATATGCCAATAAATGACTGACCAATTGCAGTCTTGAACATCAATAGGAAGTTTCAAACAACGTATATAAATAAATGTAACGGTAATTTTAAAATTGTTTTAATGATTTCATTAAAATAAATCATTGCTATACATCAGAATAGAAGATTATCTATTATATATCTAAAATACAACTTTTAAAATATCTAATTGGCCTGAGGTGAATATTGGAATACTGTTAGATGTAGTGCCTTAATTGTCTATTAAATGAAATAACTATGGGCTTTTAATTTTGTCTGTAACACCTATAAAGTCTTTTATTTCACAAGTGAACAATAACTGTAAATATTTTATTTATAAATACACAAGCTTAATCAATTGACAAACAAACTAAACAAGATGAACAGACAATGACGAAAAAGAGCACGTAAAACATACAAAAACCATGATCGATAGTAATTATCAAGAAGAGTTAGAATTAAACATTTCACTGAATAGTGTCAAATTAATAAGACGATTTATACTACTGACAACCGTAAATTAGGAAGGAAAAATTGTTTAAAATAAATAGAAGTTGACAGGTTGGACAGAGAATGTCAAATAAAGTTTAAAGGTCAAACAGATCAAATGATAAATACGTTTTAAATAATTTTTTTAAATGGAGGTGCCGAATAATGGCAGTGACGAGTAAAATGCTTTATTGCATAGATTAGTATGTAAAACAATCATGGTATGGAAGATTTGGACAGTGGGGAATGAAGTACGTTGACTGTATCCCACAGTTCATTGTTTTTAGTGCTTTACAAAAATTGATTTGGGGAACTAATTGCAAACAGTTTACTTTCTGGTTTGATGTGTTTGCCTAATTTTAGATCCTGAAATGAACCTTACAATTAACTCACCCTACAATTTTTTATTACCATACTCATTTCGAAATAATCAATTGATTACTGACTTAAGTCAACCAATAAACAATGAAATATTAATAAACCAGAATTTACCGAGTCCATGCAATTCAAACAAACTATGCATTGACCAATTATCAGCACCTTATCTTTACTCATCTTCACAAAATGAGTCTACAATACTAAATCAGAACAATTTATGCCAATTAGATATCAACGGAAGATTCAAATTCGATGAGTCAATAATACCACTGAACCAAAATATTAATTCCTTACCATCTGTTCAATATCAACGGAATACAAATTACCAGAATGAACAAACGCATCCTAATCAAAAATCTTATGATGTAGAATTTTCAATGACTCAAAATCGTTCTGTCTATCAAAAATTTATAAGTTCCATCAATAATACACCATCAAGTAATGGTAACGCTTCTTTCAACTTGACGGCTACCATCCCAAATAATCACAGTAGTAATCATCATTCTTATCAAATGAATACAAATGGAGATAATTATATAATGTCGAAATCACATATAGAGACGTATGAACCAGAAAATTCAAATTATATGAAGTATAATAGTTTACAGAGAAAATCTTTAAATAGAAATTCAATGACTACTGATTATAATAGGTTTAATACAGTTAAAACAAGTATGGAATTGAATTCATTGCCAATGGAGGTAAAATAATAAAGTTTGATTTCAAAATTTATTCGATAATCATTTATTTGTATGGGGATTTGCAGAGATTGTAGTATTTCGCACTTGAAACCACCAGCCGATCTAGGCTAGACCACTGCCGAGAACCTGGAAGCACTGGATGGCCGTTTCGTTCTAGTATGGGGTTTTTCAGAAGTACGCACTTGTGCTCCTGCATGCGGAACTCAAACCCACGACCTTCGGTCTTGCGCGCGAACCCTTAACCGTCAGACCACTTAGTCCACATCCAACGATGTTAATGTCCGATTCCGGTTAATTTTCTATTTATAAAGCATTTTTATTAACATGCTAGAAAACTGTTTTAAAAAATTTATCAAAAGTAAATATATATGTAATTCTAAAGTTACAAAATAAAGCTGTTATGGTCTCTGAACTGAACGGCTTAATTGTGAAGCTTTTATGATTTTTCTAAACAGAATTAACAGTACGTAGTTCATAAATCGGTGTTCATTAAAATATATTTACATTTGACTAACAGCTTATTCTGTTGAAAAAAGTAATTTAGTCGGTTGTTATTCATTGCTGAGTAGTGTTCATCTATATGTTTGTTTCTCTTTGTTTCCCTCTTGATCTGAATTCTGACCTCTTAGTTACTAAATTTTTTTATATTTCCATATAGATTTGACTGATTTCGGAGTGTTTATTAATCGGTGCTTGTTTGGAGTACCAAGTTTTTGAAAATTCTCTTTCTTTATGTTTCCTCTTTATAATATTCAACTGAATCCTGAGCTACACACATCCTCCACCATCTCGTAATGATGTATTAGTTTTACACCAGGTTAAAATAGTATTTCTGACGTTTTTCCGATTTCTTTCACCCTACTAACTTTCCCTGTTAGCTATCTGGTTGTTTTCGCTTTTAGTTTGCTATTTTCGTTATACATTTTCAGGTACTAGGTGTTGATATATAAACAGATTTATAGTCATTAATAAAATGTTGATATCTTTGTAGAATTATTGGTAAATTCATTTTGTTTTTCAGACTTACTCCATCTTCTCATTATACTCTGAAAATTTACTAAAGGACTGAATTATAAATGCACAGTAAAATGAAAAGTATTGAAAAATTAGCCACACTGTAGCTATAAAAAAAAACATTTTAAGCACCTCATATGTCATTCTATGTTGTTAAAATTGTATTAGTCGATTAAATTCACTGACACTTATGTATTCAATCATTCATTTTAAAATTATTTGTTTTTCTATTTGAAAAGTTCTAAAGCAAGAGATTTGATCTTTAGACAAGTAACTTATGAGTACGGAAGATTTGTCAGGACTGTAACATTGAAATCACAAACTGGTCTTAGTTAAACCGGCAATGAAAACTTAGAAGTATTGGACTATCGTTTTGTCCTAGTATAAGACGCCTTAGATGTTCGCATCCATGACCACATACGCGGCAATCGAACTCAAGACCTTAGTCTCAGCGAATATAATACAAATTCCCTACACTTATAACAACCATGTGGTCGCCAGTGACTGATTTCAAGATATAACTCTTGGGGTTTTAGTAAGAATCTTTTATCAATGGAGTTCAAACCGTGACACAGTAATCCATAATAGGCGATATGTTTAAAGTTGCACAAGATCTTGGATTGATTGAAGTTAGGCATTAGCACCATTAGATGCTGGTTCATTAGTTTAGAAGTTAAATGTTCTCACTTGAGACCACGGCTCCTCGGTTCTGATGTACAGTCGTAGGTGCGCATAGCTAAGGAGTTCCGTATTAGAACGAAAGAGACATCCCATGCTTCCAGGTTTTCAATGTTGGTCTAGAAAAAATCAGTTTGTGATTTTAATTGTGAAAATTGTTTTATGATTACGATTACGTACAGTATTAATATAATTATTCGTCATTGATTGTAAAAGTGTTATTATTTTTTTCGTGTTTCTTATTTGTTTAGTATTCACCTTTTAATAATAAAGATAATCAATCATCAGTGCGTCACGATGGACGGCGTCTTATACAAGATTTCGATTTCAATTTATTACCTGATCATTTGACTCTGAATGGTCAGCTCAATCAAACATCGATAAATAACACCACGGTCAGTCAAATATCAAATATTTATTCAACAGGATCTCATAATGATGACATTAGCAATGATAATTCTCAGTTTAGAAATACAAAACATTCATTAAAACAAGAGAATATTCATCAATCCCTATCACCTTACAAAAATACCGATTTATTGTTTAATAACTACAATTCTACAATGACCATTGTTAAGAACAACGACCAAGACACATTATCGAGTTGGGATGAAAATCTTGAATTTCATATTACAACAGACTTGGAATTGTTAACGTCTACAGAAGTTTAATCATGGTTTTACAGTGTTCTGAAGTGTTTTAGTTCCTGTGAATCATGTTTTAACTGATCTTTCATCGATTCACTATGTTGCCTATTTTGTTTGCGGATGAATCCTATCAGTAGAGAGATAGTTGAAGTAATACTAAGATATGTGGTTCTATACACTTATATATTGTCTAATAGCAGATATTATGCATTTTGTTTATATTGTAACTACATTGTATTAAAAGTACAAATTGTTTCTGATAGCTCCTATTTTGTTCATTGAAAGTGTACAGTTATACAGACATAATTATATCTGAATCTAAGTTATTTTCCTTAAGTTATTAAGTGTTCTTTAAACCTGTCCTCTTTCGTTTTTCTCTTAGAAACTATGATACATTAGAACGTTATGAAAAAACAATGGAATTTTTAAAATCTATTTTTCTCCTCCCATTAATGAATTTCCATAAATTATTTGATATTTGTAAATATAATAACTGCATTTCCCACTCTGTGTCCACTTTATTTATTGATGCAAACATGTTTATTAACCTTTCAGAAGAAAAAAAACGTTATTTTGTTTCGGATTTCAGTAATTCGTCTTATCATTTTTTGCTTCTGTGTTTGCTTGACAAGTTTTATCACATGATATATATAAATACTTTGATTATAAGATAACTTTAAACATAATTTGTTTTTACCACTTAAGCTTCTTTAACTAAGATCTACTATAGCCTCTGGAGATAAATACTGCAGTTTACTCTAGTGAGTCATATGAAGAGAATTTGGTTTATCAAGATTTTAAACTAATTTCGTTGTCGATTCACATCATATTTTCTAGGAACTACTGACTACATCTAGTTTGTGTTATAATTTGTGGCCTTTTACCCTAGTAATATATGAAATAATGAGACCGCCAATTAAAGAACAGTAATTTGTCGACCGGACCAATGACGCACAAAACCTTTACGAGCAGTCTAGAGTACTTATCCATCCAGCTTCTGCCTGACCCAGCCTGTTAAGTTCAAAACACCAATCTCAGCCTCTGAAATATGAATCATGTATTTCAAACATACTGGGTTTATATACATACCAAACAGACCACATCGCATCACAAAGTAGTAAATAACATTTGTACAAGATCCAGTCAAAATTGGTTGTGATTCTGGGATACTGTAATTAATAGACTGAGCATAACTCAAGAATGGGAAATCGTATAATAATGGTTTATAGGTCAAAATAAAGCTTATAATAAGAGGAAAACGAATATGATAGATTTAGTTATTACACAATTATACGATAAAAATGTACGCACAGTATTAGTCCAGAAATAGATTCCAGCAGTTACCAATCATTATTCTCATCAGGATATAACAGTTTATTAACCTTAAATTGAATTTTAAAGAATACAGTTATCTGTAGAAAAAAATACCGGCAGACTTAAATCGAACCACTGAAGTTAATTGGAAATCAGCATTTAAAAATCATTCTTATTCAAATATGAAAAATCTAATCTGATACAGCAAGTTAAGTAGAGGAGATCATTAAATAATAATGCTAATATTAGAGATAGTTTAATGAACAATCAAGCGAATTGATGTAAAACAATTAAATAAATAAAAAATAAGGATAATGTGAAATACTTAAGTTTCATGATAGATTAGTTGTTATTGCTAAAGCATATTATTATTACTGTTAATGGCTTTATTCAATATTATATTTTGGTACAATATAGAATTCTCAGCACGTGGTATTTCCGCAAGTTTCTTTTACAAAAACAAAAAACAACAAAAAAGGAAAAGACGAAAAAATATCAGAATCTGTACAACTTTTCAAACTAGAGACATGTTTAAGAATTCAGGTTATTGACTAGATAAACTCTAACAACCCATTCGTCACAAAGTATATTTGCTAGGTAAGATATTATGGAACTTTTATACCGTTGCTTGAGCGCATGGATTTTAGTGTATTGACGTCTCGTTCTACCAGAAGATACACAAAGAGAAAGATATGAATGAAGGGAATAACTAGGATCTGAGAAGATAACATTTATCAGAAGTTTGCAGGAGTTTGGATGTTTACCCACAACCATTTTATTAATGACCTCAAACGATTCACCACACACCTTGCCAACTGCCTTCAACACTCTCGTCAACACAGTAAAAAATAATAGGTAATATGCATATATACAGTGGGATCATCCGCATATTTCACAAAAGTATTTTCTGTGGAGGATGGAAGATCATACAGAAAAAATGAGAAGAGGTGAAAGAAAAGCTCCTCATGGCATACCTTCATGAGACAGTAGGGGCGTTGGACACTTTCCTCCAAACGCAGAGTACTGTTCCCTTCCAGAGAGGTAGGAACATAGTCAATTGGTTATCTAGCTGTCAGTGTTGCCGCTGATTACCTTGTTGGGTAAAATTTGTCTTGAGATAAAATCAAAGACAGAAGCCGAACACTATATTTTGATGCAAAACAGCAATGTCAACTAAGGTGCTTCTTTTGCATGTGTAAGCAAACTGATACGGATCAATGTGCTCTTATATCGCAGGTTGAAGTGGAAGAATCAATAATTTTTCCATTGTTTTAAGGAAAGGTGAAGTTACTGCTATGGGTCTTAATTTCACATTTTTATCACCAGATACTTTCTTAGGTATAGGGATTATCTTTATCTGTCTCCACATTTTCGGTATGAGATTACTTGAGAAGGATCTGTTAAAGATACTCGTGAATGGATAACATAGAGCGTCAGCATGTTTTTTATAGAAGAGGTTTGGGATACTATCAGGTCCTAAACATTGGGGTAAATTCAGTAACTGGAGACATCTTAGGACATCAATTTCAATGAAACTAGGAACACAACTATTCTTTAAACTTGTGGATATAGGGCGCATTACATCAGATGACTGACGTACAAAAGACTTATTTAAGTCACAAACATAGTTGAACTATTCAAATTATTTTAGGATGGTTATTCATAATTGAAAATGTTTGATTGTAATGACCTCTATATAACTAAATAAAGACCTTGTTACGAAGTTGTTAAGTCAATGAGACTGCTTCACCTGGATAGTAAACGTTTGACCACCATATTGAATCTAGTATTATTTCCTTCTGAAACCTTGTTCCTTCTTGAATAAATTGATGTTAAGTTTCAAATGTTTATTACCACATATTTTGTAATGAGTTTTGATGAGACTCACAGATAACGTAATCATGTTGATGTTTGTGATAATTCGTATTTTCTTTATTAAGTGGAAGAGTATTAATATCCTTGTAGGCATAAAGAAAATATAAAAAAACATCTAAAAAATAAATATTTGCAAACCATCTTAGTCTTCTGGGAACAAGTCATACCAGAAGAGGGTTTTGTGGCTGTTATAGTAATTTTAATAGTTGAATTCATGAGTCAGTTGAAGCTAGACTATCATGGGAAACTTAGAAACACTTTATGGCCGTTTCGTCCCAATATGGGACACTCCAAACAATACCTCATCTATTCAAGAAACGTCAGAGTTTTTTGGTTACAATGAATTCACTGAACAGTGAACAATATAAAGTTAATTACTAATAATCAAATGCGCTCATTCGATTACATTAAAAATTAATTGATTGAAATCAATAGTTAATTAAAGCTAGACCACCATGTAGTACCTGTAAGCACTAGACGGCCGTTTCGTCCTAGTATGGGACTCCTCGGCACTGCGCATCCACGATCTGCACCTCGCGAGATTCGAACCCACGACCTATCAGTCTCGCGCCAAGCGCTTAACCAAATAGACCAGGTTTTCCAATGTGGTCTAGCTTTAATTGACTCATAATTTCAATCTGTGAAATTTCTAAAATCTCCACAAACCCCTTCTGATAAAAATTAATTATCATAATATATAATTATCAAATGTATGTTTAATATATTATGTTTGTAAAAGAAATGTTAACTTAAGCCCGAAAAAAAGTCATCTTATATAATAAGCATAATGCTACATATATATGCATGGTTGACTGTATTATATTAGGTGAATAGAATATATTATTTTCACAGATTGAAATCATGAGTCAGTTGAAGCTAGACCACATTGGAAAACCTGGAAGCACTGGATGGCCGTTTCGTCCTGGTATGGGACTCCTCAGCAGTGCGCATCCACGATCCAGTGCTTCCAGGTTTTCCATGGTGGTCTAGCTTCAACTGACTCATGATTTCAATCTGTGAAAATTTCTAAAAACTCTCCACAAAACCCATTCTGATATATTATTTTATTAAATTGCTTCACCATACATTTGCTCTCCTTATTTATTTATTTCCTCTAAATCAATAACAAAGAAAGAGAAAAGAAAGAGTTCATCACCAAGTTATAAAAGGGTTAACTAAGAATTATTTATAATAAAATTTATAAGGAACTAATAAGTTATTATGTAATGATTGACAGATATAAAAAGCAAACTAAATATTTTCACTTAAACAATTTCTTCTTTAAGTAGATGAAATCCTGAATTATTATTATTATCTTTATAATTATTGATAATACATATTTTATCGACATTTCAGTGTAGGCTTCATCATTCAGGAAATAATGAAAAACGGAAGACATCACTTGTAGCCGTTAGCAAGATCTTGTTGATAATATATATATAAACAGTTGGTATTGTTATTAAGATGTTACATTTTGATCCACAGTTGAATAAAAATGTGCCGATGCTATTATGCCAATTCTAGCATGAATGATTTTTTAAAATATCATATTCTTCATAATTGATTACACTGTTATTTTAGTTTACTTAAATACTCTTGTCAAATTATAATATTTGAATTATTTGAATTGTAGTATGAACTAGGAATCCCAGAAATAACTCAATTGAATTAAGAAGTAAGACACAAGCACAAACGAATGTATTGTATTTGGAATTCGAAATCTAGCATTCCACAGCTACAAAGATATCATTAGTTCATTCAAACACCACATAAATCTAACCATTTTGATAACATTTTAAATCTACTTGTGTTCACTATTTATTAACCTTGTGATCATTGTTACAGTCAAATTCAAAAGTCTTTTCTTTTTGGACTAAAATAGTATAAAAAAAAGTAACGTAAGTGTTACCTTTCAAATGTAAAATACTAGATTATAACTGTAACATGATTTTGATTAAGATAAAGACACAATATTACTTTTCTTTTTTCAATAAAGTAAAGGTGCATCACTCACCTATATTATATAAACAATTTAATATAGGGGTTATAGTTTTTTTCAGCACTAACGTTATTACATTTCCATTTAGATTTCTATCTGACAACAGTAACTTATTATTAATGATTACGTTAACATTGAATATTCCGAAATGTAGTTCATTTCACTGTGTGCTATAATATCTGATGTTGTTTATACAACTATCTAATAGAGTTTACTTTATAAACAAAACAACAACAACAAAAAGAACTGCTGTGAAGTGAACACTTGAAGAAGTTCGCTTAGAATAGATCATAGTTGTTATTATTTCACTACTTATTATATAATCGTTGTTTACCTTCATGTTAATTGTGTAATGGGTTAAGTTAAATTGTTTAATAAAATTTAACTATCATAGTTAATATTGAATTTTGTATAGCTAGAAGACATAATCAAATCCATTAAAATTTAGACAAACAACGTGAATATATGAATGAAACCAAGAATATAACGAAATTCT